TGCCCTGGTACCAAGTGTACCGATGGACATCCTTATGTTCGAACATGGTGGTCGTTATGGCCAACTACGGCTTGCACAGAAGTCCAATAACGAAACACCATTTGAGTTCAGATCAGGCGGGACGTTCCTCCCAATCACACCCCTCCAGGTCAAGCTGCCATTGCCCACGTGAGCATTGAAGTCCCCCAGCAGGACAATGGAGTCCCCTGATGGAGCACTATCTAGCACTCGTCCCAGGGACTCCAAAAGGGTGGGTACTCTGAACTGATATTTGGCCCATAAGCACAAACAACAGTCAGGACTCGTTCCCCGACCTGAAGGCGCAGGGAAGCTACCCTCTCATCCCCCGGGGTAAACCCCAACACACAGGCAGAGAGTATTGGGGCTAACAAAAAGCCAACCCCAGCCCTCCGCCTCTCACCTGGAGCAACTCCAGCAAAGGAGAGTGTCCAACCCCTCTCAAGGACTTGGGTTCCAGAGTCAATGCTATGTGTCGAGGTGAGTCCGACTATTTCTAGCCAGTACCGCTCAACTTCTGCCACAAGCTCCTGCTCCTTCCCCACCAGAAAGGTGACGTTCCATGTCCCAAAAACCAGTTTTCTTGTCCAGGGATCGGACCGCCAAGGCTCCCGCCTTGGTCTGCCACCCGATCCACATTGCACCGGACCCTTCATGTTCCTCCTGCGGGTGGTGGGTCCACAGTTGGCTGAGCCCATGTATCCGGTTCGGGCTGGGCCCGGCCGGGCCCCATGGGTGAGAGCCCGGCCACCGGGCGCTCGCTCACGGGCCCCAACCTCAGGCCTGGCTCCAGGGTGGGACCCCGGTAACCAACTCTCCGACTCTTTGACTTTACTTCCATGAAAGATCCTGTGAACCGTTCTTTGTCTCACCCTTCACCTAAGACCAATTTGTCATGGGAGACCCTAACAGGGGCACTCCCTGACAACATAGCTCCTAAGATCATTAGGGCCCTCAAACTCCTCCACCACGATAAGGTGACGGTTCAAGGAGGAGATGGAAGTGGATTGCTTTAATAGAAATGCAAGATCAAATCTGCACATCGCCTTTAGTTTGCCAGGAATATCTTCAAATGTTTGGCAATTTTAAAATGTTTTCATCCTTTTTCCACCATGTGTCACAGAGGCAACAGATCCAGGGGAAAACCCTAGAAATTCCTCTCCCTAGAGAACCCTCCAGCTCATCCTGGGTGCTCCAAGATGTTCCGTGGCTACAGATATAATAAAAATGTTTCCAAAATAAACCTCAAAGTTAAGGATAGACATACAATTATTACTGATTGCACAAGTGAGTAAACAGATCTGATGTGTTTTACAGCTGATGGCAAAACTGACCGAGAAAGTCATGGAATGCTCAGCTGTGCTTCCCTGTTTCAGGATTACTTCACTTCTCCATGACCACACAGCTTTTTGGACAGTGTTTCCCTGGCTTTTGGCTCGTTACAACACACCTGTTCACATTTAATGAACTGTAAACTTTGACTTAGCTAACAAATATCTTTTTTTCAGTGGTTTATGTGTGATTCTTTGCTAAAGGGAAAGAAAGTAGATAAGCTGGTTTGATCTTAAAGCTGCACCTTTCATTGATCTCGGAATTGCATCAAACTGTTTAAATCCTGTGGCAAAATCAAAATGTGCTCATTTGAAAGTAAACATGAACTACAATGGAACATATTTTCCCAATTTTGCTCATTGCAGAAATTGGAATAAGAAGGGACGCATGAGCAGCTGCTGGTTTCACCAGCCTGTAAAGCTGCTCAAGACAGTTTATATGAGATAAGGATTTAAATGTGTGATACCAGATAAATAGAATAGCTGTGGTGTCTGAACATCAGACCTGGGATCTTTAAATATTTCTGCTGCTTCCTATTAACTGGTTTAAATTGGTCAAAAGATGCTGACCTTTTAACTGAAGCATCTAATAGCAGAAAATAATTTTAACACTTTGAAAAACCACAACAGTTTATTTCTTTAGCATTTCCGAAAGAAAATGTCACCTTTGCAAAGCAGCAGATGAAGAAAATGTGTTTTTAATAGGGGTGGGACCCAATAAAAAAAGTTATCTAATTAATCAGAGGCTTTGTTATTATTTAATCTTGATTAATTACATTTTAATCATTTAAGACAATTTGCACCAAGGCAATGTGATTATTAGGAATAATGTTAGTGAAGCACTGATGACAGACCCACACTTGAAACTAATATATTTCTGTATTTCTTTGAGGATCTGTTATCCACTGTGCTGTAGTCTGCTGGTGTGCAGGCAGCTCTGGCCGAGACAGGAAGAGATTGAACAAACTAGTTAACAAAGCTAGTTTGGTTCTGGGCTGCCTACTGGATTCAGTTGAGGAGATGTGTTAAAGGAAGATGCTGGTGAAAATGACCTCCATCTTAAAAAAAAAAACCTGTGTTCCACTGTGGAGACCATGGACAGCTCCTTCAGAGGCAGACGGAGACATCCCAGATGTAAAACAGAATGCTACCATAGGTCATTCATCCCCTCTGCTGTAAGAGTGCATAACTCCTCAGTTTAACTGGTACTGGAATTATCCTGGTACTCAATAACACCAATGCAATATCAAGTATGTGTTCAATACTTGTGCTGGAGTTAGGTAGTGTGTCCGCTGCACAGTTCTGGAACCCACGTTTTTCATTTTTGTCTTTGGGTTTTTTTTTTTTTTTTTGTGGTCGAAGGTTACAATATTAGACTACTGCCTATGTATATATTCATGTACCTTTGTTATTATTTTTCTTCAAATTATTCTCTCACTTGTTGGTGCTGCTGTAACAAGTCAATCTCCCCACTGGGATCAATAAAGTCTATTCTATTCTTCTATTCTATTCTAACAACAAGGTCTACTTCAGAGCTATTTAATTGCAGGCCTCAAGGGCCGGTATCCAGTACGTTTGAGTTTTAACCCTGCTTCAACACACCTGATTTCAATCAGCAGGTAATTAACAGGCTTCTGTAGGACCTGATGAGCTGCTGCACAGGTGATTCAACCACTGAGCCTAGTGTGTTGTTTAGAGAAACCACTAATATTTGCTGAATACCAGCCCTCAAGACCCAGAATTGAATAGCCCTGGTCTATTTGATTACTTTAGACTCATTATAAAGGTAATAATTTTAGGGATGTCTTACGATGTGTAAACAATGTGTTTTACTGTAGGTGGAAATGGAACATTGTAAATGTTGTGTACTGAACTGAGCACTAGGTGGCAGCAGAGCACTGCTAACAAGTGTAGTGCAGAGTTCAGGGGAAGTTCTGCTGAGGGTTACAAGATGAATGCTGTGTATGCTTGTCCCTCCTGATGTAATAAGATTGATATGGATAAAGTTACTACTTACCTGTTTTCTACCAACTAGAAAACATAATGTATTGATTTTTTCCCCCTCTCTTTTCTTCATCAGTAACATTGGAGCACCACAGGGGACTGTACTCTCACCATCCCTTTTCACCCTGTACACCTCAGACTTCCAGTACAAATCAGAGACTTGTCTTCTACAGAAGTACTCAGATGACTCTGCAGTCGTTGGGTGTATCAGAGATGGACAGGAAGCTGAGTACAGAGAGCTGGTGGAGCGCTTTGTGGCATGGTGTGGAAACAATCATCTGACCTTGAACGTGAACAAAACAAAGGAGATGATTTTAGACTTCAGAAGAAACAGGGTGGAGTCAAACACTGTTTCCATCATGGGAGAAGAAGTGGAGATGGTTGAGGAATACAAATACCTTGGAGTTCACCTGGACTACAGACTGGACTGGAGAAAGAACAGCGAAGCCATTTACAAGAAGGGACACAGCAGACTGCACTTCTTGAGGATGCTTAGGTCCTTCAATGTCTGTAGCAAGATGCTGCACATCTTCTACAAGTCTGTTGTTGAGAGTGTAATCTCTCCAGCCATCGTCTGTTGGGGTAGTAGCATCAGAAGCAGGGACCTGAAAAGGCTCAACAGCCTAATAAAAAGGTTGGTTCTGTTCTGGGGACGACTGTGGAACCGCTGGAGGAGATAATGCAAAGAAGGATTCTCCAGAGAATCAAGAAAATGATGGACAACCCTGAGCATTCTCTTCACAAGACTGTCCGACAACAGAAGAGTGTCTTCAGTCAGAGGCTTCGTCAGTTTCACTGCAACACTGACCGCTACTGGAGATCCTTCCTGCCAACAGCCATTGTAATATACAATAACTCTTTGATGACTTGATTATTATTATTATTCTGAGCTACTACAGCCATCAATTTCCCTCTGGGATTAATAAAGTATTTTTGAATTGAATTGAATAAAGAGCGATTTGTCATAGTTTAATTGTAGTTTTAGTTGTGTTTGGAGCAAGTAGTTATTTATATGGTCTTGTAGCTCAGCCACTGTAGTTTTTACAAAGGTGCAGCTTGATAATTATTGCTACATACACATATATTTTGATGCTAAACTGTTTCATCCCCCAATTAGGGGACGCTCAGGCTCAATGGCATTTTTAATGAGTTATTTTTTTCTAATTAATTACTCACAATTAACCCATTAAATTATCACCCCTAGTTTTGTAATGACTAAGTCGGTGATCAGGAGGGCAGTCTAGAACTACGGTAGGCAATCCTGCCCTTTGAGAGCTGCTATCCAGCATGTGTTTGTTGTTTCCCAGCTCCAATACACCCGATTTATTTGCAGACTTCTACAGAGCTTGATTAGCTGGTGATTCAGCCATTGAATTAGATGTGCTGTAGCAAAGAAACAATTAAAACATGCTGGATTGTGGTACTTGCATACCCCTGGTCTAGATGTTTCAGAAACAGGTGATTTCCATTATCAATAATGTAAATTAACCATACATTTAACAGTTTAGTAAAAGTACTAAATGTAGTAAAAAGTAGTGAAAAAGTTTAAGATTCTTATGGATCAGCAGCGGAGGCTTGAACCTCCATATCTGCGTCTAGTTCTGTGTCAATGGAATTTGTCCAACAGCAAAAACACAAGCAGCAATGTAAGATTTTTAAATATTTTAATACTTTTCTTAAAAAAATGCTGTACTCCATTACATGAAGATGAATCTATTGACCTCAATGCCTCACTCTTCAACATACCAACACATTGTTCTGGGTAGAATAAATCCAAGAAGGAAAAAAACAAAAAGCAAAAAGAATTACAAACAGGGATGAAAAAAAAAATTAAATAAAAAATGTATAGAACTGAAAACACTCATAGATCTCCAGGCCAACGTACAGAAGCTGGGAAACTATCCCATTTTCAGAAAAACACAATGGCACACGAAAGTCCCAAACGGTTACTATGAAGGATGAACACATTTGAAAAATAAAAAGACAATTAGAAATAAGAGCCTTTTATACAAACTGCTGAAGCTGTGAACATGATAGTGGTCAACGAGACATTTAAGAAGACTAAAAACATGTACATGAAGAAAAGAAATAATGAAAACAAGTTTAGCAATTAACCACGTAAGTGCAGATTTATCAAACAGTTATAAAATGATAGGACCTAGTCGTCACGTATTTTTAACCGCTTTTTTCAACTATTACAGAGCAAAATGTTGCATAACTTCAGATTTAAAAGGGGATCAAAAAGAATTCATAGCAATAAAGACATAGCCTTTAATATAAAGTGAGAAGAAGACGTATTTTACATGTAAAAAAATGTGAACGAACTTTCAGCACTCAATAGATTGGTTTTGGCATAGAGTAGAGGGGAGGGGGTGAAAGAAAAACAACAAAACAGAAAATGTGCGAGAGAATAAGACGGACAAAACAATCCTCTCAATAGAATCATAAAAAAGTTTTTTTCTTTACATTAAAGTCTAAAAAAAAAAAAAAAATTAAAACCATAGCTCAAAAATGAACACAGATGTGAGCTTTGCTCCCCACAATCAAAATCCCTCCCCGTTGTCTTTTTCATGACTTTTTGTCGTATATAATATATATATTTTTTATTTTCACGCTTCTATTTATATATATGTATAATTTGTAAGTTGTGATCATTAGATTACAGGCCAGAGCTCTAAGGCAAGGGACACAATCTGATCTTGGAAACGGGATCGTTCCTTCTCCGCTGCCTTTGAATCCTGAATGTTCCAGTGGCCTCCACCTCTTCCATTTAGGACTGCACACAAAGGGGGGCAGAGAGAGAGAGAGAGAGAGGAGAGAGAGAGAGAGAGAGAGAGAGAGAGAGAGAGAGAGAGAGAGAGAGAGAGAGAGAGAAGAGAAGAGAGAGAGAGAAAGAGAGAGAGAGAGAAAGAGAGATGGAGAGAGCGATGTTGTTTCGCTCTCGTTGCGTTCTGAGAAAAACTCAGATGACTTTAAATAATGAAAAGATTCTGAAAGAGAAAAATTGTTCATTTGTTCACTTTTTTATTACATCCCAATGAAAAGGCTGATTTAACTTGATGTGTCTAACTAAATCCTGATCTGCACGGATTTTAATTCCTCTCTTTTCAAAGGCGTGCCTTTTTTGTCTCGAGAGATCAGAGACCAACGCTTCAGGAACATTTTATCTGAGGCTGGAGGGAAAGAAGGTTGCCTGATTCAATCCTTTCTCATTCACATGACACAAGCCAGCTGTTTCCGCTGAGAGAAAGGAACGGTTATGGTTAAGTCTGTGTGAAGTGGGTGTGTGAGCAGCATCCGTGTGTGTGTGTCAGAGCTCCAGTTTATGCAATCTGTCACTTTGTTTATGTGTGATCATAGGTCCTTCTCTCTCCTGCTGCCATCGTTCTCCACTCAGAACAGATTCTCCTCAAAAATCGCCATCAGGTCACTCTGGAAATTGATGTCAATAGTGTCAGCCATCTGCAGAAAAAATATTCATAATGAGAAGAGTTAGTGGCTGACCCAACAGATCAGAAACCGGCATTTTTCCCTAGCAGTTCAGGTCATACCGCCTCTCTCCTCCGCCTCTCCTGCTCGCGGCGACGCGCCATCTCCCTCTGCTGGTCGAGTGCATTCTGTGCAGCTGAGGTGGGTGGAGGTGGAGCCTGTTGCTGTGCGGGTGGGGGCTGTGGGGAGTGAGTGGGTAGCGTTGAGGCTGGAGGCGTGGGAGCAAGTGGCAACGGTTGCTCCTGACGACGACGAGCATCCTCTTGTGCTCGACGAGCCTGTTCCATCGTGCTGTCGTCGTCACGGCTACAAACAAACAAACAGTCAGTGAGCATTGTGATGGTTGTTAATGCTCCTCCTTCTTAAGAAATAGACCAATCATAACAAAGTCAATGTTCATCATTATTAGAGGCTTAAGTTTGTTCTTGCTTTGTTCCACGAGTGATTCTCTAATCATCTTAATGACTAAGATGTTGCCGTTACGTGACGACGTTCCCGTACAGAACCCGTCTACAACACTCCCACTCACCGTAATTTTTCCTGCTCTCTCCTGGCTTGCTCCGCCTGAGCTTTGGCCTTTCTCTCCCTTGCCTCCTTCTCCCTTGCAGCACGTTTGAACAGCTCGAAGCTACCGCTGGAAGAGCGCGCCGCTGAGGCTGATGTCGACTGGGACCCATGAACCAGGCTGGCCCAAGGACCCACAGGCTTTTTTTTCACATCCTGGAAAGAAAAAAAAATTATGAGCTGAAAATTAGAAAAGAGAAGATGACATTCATTTTTCACATCAAACAAGAACACACCTGTGTTTTCTTGGGTGCAATAGGGGTTTCGGGTTCTTGCTTGATTTTCATGTCCTGTTGGGAGCAAGGTTGCGCTGGGGAGCCTGGGAGACGAGGAATGGGGCGACAACCATCCAGTGGCTTCATATCTAAACCTGACGGAGACAATTTATTATTTTTCTTTTTCAAAAGAAATCGTAGAAAATTATCTGAACAATTCACTTTTTTATGCCTAGTAAGTTGTTAGCTTAGCATGCTAACTCCAGACTATCACTGCACAGTGATGTCAGCAAAGTGTCTACGATAAATATTATAGAAATGTTTATTCTCAAACTCAGCTTCTTCAGACCATGATGAGTAAATATTCAATAAATGCAACTGATGAGCACAAACCGACCCATCAGCTCATCCAACACCCCCACAAACAACACTTACTGTGTTTGTTGTCTGGTTTAATTGTGTCTTGACAGCGTGCAGGACTGAAAGGTGATAGAGGGAGAACTGGAGACTGTGAAGACTTCTCCTCCTTAATTGCCATGAGGCTGGACCTCTGTTCCTACAGAAAAACACAACAATGCCTTTAAAAATAATGCACTTTTTATCCTTGGACTGTTCATACTCATTTTTTATCCATATACCCAACCATTACAACACGTATGAGCGTGTGTGTAAAATGTGGAGAACAAAATGTCTTACTTTTAAAACTTGAAACAAAGATTAAAGACCTGAAAGTCATGTGACCATTTGGATGTTTATGCGTCAGGTTTGAAGCTGACAACTCTGGAAATCTGGTTGTTGTTGTTGCTGCTTTTTATACAGGGTATCTGCAGGTTTAAGGGAGCCAAATTTAAGACTGTTTAAGACCTTTTTTAAGGCCACTTTAACCAAATTTAAGCTATTTTAAAAATTAAATTTAAGCTATAATATCCAGCTATTGCCTGGAACCGGTGCTAACCATGCCGTGAACGTGGGATTAACCATCCAGTTACCATTAAACTTGCACTTCCCCATGGCGCAAGCTCCCACTAGCTTAACCAGCTAATGTGCTCATCTAAAAATAGCCCCCTTTCACATCCAACTGAATGTGTACGGTTCCGCTTACGCCAACATCATACACAAAAAATGCTGAACACTAACTAGAAATTCACAAAAATTTCTATAGAAATAAAATAATCTTGTTTATTGGGTCTTTGGTAATTTAAGACCTTTGGAAACTGGATTTAAGGATTATTTGTCATTTTTACGGATTTTCAAGGCCTTAAATTTGGAAAGCAAATTTAAGACTTTTTAAGGACCCGCGGATACCCTGTTATAGATTTAACAAAAGAAATTGGAAAAAATAGTTGTAACAGACTGCCATCAACAAAATATCTAAAAAGAAAAAAATCTAATTTAAAAATGTTTCTTTCTAATGTGTTTTGTGAAGTGAATCCATTGAGTTTGGGAGTCTTTGGTCCATGACCTTTCCAGGCATTAAAGCTGCCCGTCTAACAAAATAAAACATTCTGAAACCTGAAAACGATAGGCGCTGGGTTAAAGCTGAGAGTAGAAAACAAACAGAAGGCTACTGCCAGCAATCACTGCGTACACTCACTAGCTTCTTTGTCTGCGAGGGTGACTGATGTCCCATCGTGTGGAACTGTGGCATCGGAGGAGACTGCATCGTCAGAGGAGACGAACTTTCATGCAATGAGCCTAAAAAAATCAGAACATATTACAAATGCACAAAAATCTATTTAGCTCTGTTAATGGCAAGTTCTGGCAAAATTTTTTGTTAAAGTAAAAAAAATTCACTGAACCCAAACTGTTAGAGCACTATTAATAATTGTGCTTATAAAACAATAAGGCTACTTGGTTTTAGTGCCTTTCCACTACCCCCCTTTAAGTTATTGCTATGAAACAAGAGCACTTACACAAGTCTGATGTGTATAAAAAATATCTGATGAGATGCATTTGAACAAGTTCCCAAATAAAGCGTGAATAAATCTGTACCGACTCACCTGTGGGTAAGAACGGTTCTGCTTTGCTTCGTGGAGATGGCTGCGGTTGGTGTAGCTGCGGCTTCTGCTGCAGGACCGCCCCCTTCTGTTGCAGCGACGCCGATGTGTTTGAATGGGGGAACGATTGCGGCATGTGGCCAGGGATGTGTCTCTGAGTCAGTGCGGGGGTGTTTGTCGTCATCCCCTGGGTGTGCATTGATGGCACCAGCTGGGGGGCGACCTGCCCAGGTGAGTGGGTGGGCAGCGACAGAGGCAGCGTAGTGGGCCGTGGCTGAAGAGACTGCAGGAGGGAGTGGACCTGACTGAGTGGCGGGGTTTCAGAATTGTTGGATGTAGGCTCTTCGTCATCCTCTAGCAGGGCCTGGGGAGGTTGAGCTGAGAGGGTACCAAGGATGCCGTGAGATGGTGGTGAAGGGACGCGAGGGCGCGGGACGGGCTGGGGAAGGTTGAGGGGAAGTGTGGGTTGGAGCTGTGCTGAGGAAGACGGCGGTAGGTGGGGGAGTGAGGTTGGAGGCGGCTGTGGATGTTTGGGTGGAAGCGGTGCAGCACGGTTGCTTGGTCTTGATGGTTGTTGGGGGAGAGCAATGTGGACTGCTGCAAAAAGGAAAAAAACTTAGATCACAAGGACTTTTGTTTACTTTTGAAGCTAAAGGTCAGACAGCACTGTTCTGTTTCACCAGCTGGTTTAAAACCAATAACAAAGACACCGTTTAAGAAGTAAAGGTCCCAAAGTTGGTGGAGCTGCTAGAAAGTACTCTTTTAGTTGACGTACCTGGGGAAGGCATGATGGGAAGCTGGTTTAGGAAAGGGTGCGTGTCAGTTGGTGTCTGATTGGTGGGCATGTTTGAGTTGAGCAGGCCGGAGGACACCAGAGCACCAGCAGTCGTCATGGGAGCACTGGACTCTGCGTTTGACTGCATCAACTGAGAGTTCATGAAGTTCGCCAGAGGATCAAATCCTGAAGTCATTAACTGAGACGAGTCCAGAGAGGGGACAGAGGCAGGGACAGAAGGTGGAGGGGGGACAAACGGTGCTTTAGACTGGACCAACTGAGGAAGGGTTGGAGGGGCAGAAGTGACTGGGGCCACTCCAGTACTGAGGGGCTGGTTGTGCAGTCTTTTCGTGTCCTTGTTGCCGGAGATCTTCTTCTGTTTGGGAACCAGCCCTGTAAACAAAGGACAGCAGAGGTCAATGATGTGACTGAACACACAACGACCATAGCTGCTAGTTAGGGTGTGGGCATTACCACTATCAGAGTCTTCACTATCAGAGGAGTCACTGCTGTCTGAAGATGAGGATCCTGTCCTCATCTTCGTCACAGTTGTTGTTTCCAAAGACTTTTCTGCTGCAAAAACAAAACCCATTAAGCTTCTAATCCAATGATGAATTATTCTAATTTCCATGACACCACTCAGCCTTTTAAGGTCTCATTATGTTCCTTTACAGCTTGTCTCAACATGTCAACAGTAGGAGTACAAAAGGATACGCTGACTTCTACTATTCGGACCAAAAATCCCACCTGATGGTTTCTTCTTCTTCTTGAGGCAGCTGGAGACGTATTTTTCCAACTCTCTCAACGTGGAGGGCTTCAGTGTCTCAAAGTCTATCTCAATCTCATCTGGGTTTGAGTTCTTCAGTGAAGGCTCACGCGTTTGGATTATGTGCACAACCCTGCCCAGTTTGTCACCAGGCAACTTGTTTATGTCCAGGCTCAGCTGGCGCTTCTCCTCATAGGACATCGGCTTGAATTTTCCAGGACTCAAATCTGAAGAGGAAAGCATCAACAGAGTGTTTCATAAAGAACATCCAGTTTGAGGGGCAGATGGAGCAAAGTGACATGAAACGTGTTCTGGGGTGTACGTACCAACATCGTCCTCTGCTTCAAGAGAAGCTGAAGGTACAAGAGGGATGGGACCTGCCTGAAGAGGCGCAGCTGGGCGGCTGCTTTTAATTCCTTCTTTTTTACTGTTTAGGCGAAATGTTTAATTAACCCCAGTTCAAGCAAAACCAATACTCTTTTTCTTTGCCAGGTAAACTTACCTGGGTTTCTTCCTGTCCTTCTTTGCCATGACAGGATCCTTGGTGCTCTTGCTTTTTTTAGAAGTCTGAAGTATTGCAAGAGGAGACGTCTCTGCCGATTCGTCTGTCCCAGTCTTCTTCTTGTGCTTTTCTTTCTTCTTCTCCTTTTTGTCCCGCTCTTTCTTTTTGGGTTTGCTGGCCTGAGGCTGGGAGAGTGCCGCCAGCTGTTCATGTACAGCTTTAAGCTAGAAAAAAAAAATCACACACAAACGAAGTCTTAAAAAATCATCATCTCTCAAATCTCTGCACTGATTAGAGCATTCAGTTACGTCTTTCATGCATGGCCCGCCCACCCACTAACTGTGATGGAGAAACCTTCTAACCTGTTCCTGTAACTCGGCCAATCGCTGTTTCCTATCCTGCTCAGAGTCTGCTCTCGAAGACTCGGACTCAGAAGAACTAGAGCTGTCATCTTCTGAAACAACAGGCGGGGGCGGGGCTTGCCGAGCGGAGGGTGCAGAGAGGAGGACCGATGACAGTGTGGGAACAGGAGTGGGCTCCTCTGGATCGTCGGGCATTTTGGCAAAACGCATCTCAAATACATCCTGTTGAGATGTGAAGGACATCAGGACAAACAGATCTCGACAAAGAGTTAACTGTGCACCAACTACCAAATGTTACATTAAAATTGGGTGATATGTAAAAAATTTTCCAATGAATATTTATCAGTCCAATAAAAGAGGATGGGTGATATAATCACACATGCGAGGTCTAGACTTCTTGTGGGCCCAACTAGCCTAGAAATGTAGACCAACCACTGCAGCAGCAAAGGACTTTGCTCTGCAGGTCGGTCGCCACATTCCATTGTGGCCTCAGCAGGTCCACCACTGGCCTGAGCAGTTTTGTGTCTTGCCAGTCACAGTGCTCTACATTTGTTGGTCGAGCTTAGCACCGGAGCCGCAACAGACAAAAACGACAAAGATGTCGTCGGCTCGGAAAACGAAGCTCATTTGAAACGGTTTTGGTATCCACTTAGAAATGATTTAGACTTGAGGTTTTCTTTTAGACACGAGCAGGAGGATACTTGGGTCATTTATTTAGAAAAAGGATGAATTAGATTTTTTTCCTACGGTGTATGGCTGACTGCCCTGTTGACTGACATCCATAGAGGTGAGTGCATCCCGTTGTTTGCTGCTCTAATTGGTCCTAGCACTGTCCAATTGTGTGCAGAGACAGTTTGAAAGACAACAGTAGATTCCACCCAAAGGCTGGGGGTTTTCAATGGCTTCTGTCGCGCCCCTCGGTGATGTCATCAGCAAGCGCAACCGGTTAGCCAGTAGTAAATAATTCTATATCATAGGCCAAAATCGGTTATACTTGTACCGTTTACACCGCATTGCTAGGGGGCAGGACATCTGAACTACTGGTCAATAGATGAAACTTCGCCTCAGCAGGGAAGGAGGAGAGGTTTGGATCAGATGTCAATTAAGAGATTGAAGCTAATGAGGATGCTTACAGAGGTTATGATGAGAATGTGGTAAGCGGCAGCATGACCACTTTCACAAAAAAAAAAAAAAAAAACCACCAGGAGTAAAAAGGGCGTGGTTCATCGCAGATGGTGCATAAATTCGCCTAAACTTAAAGTACATAAATGATTGGTCCAGATCAGTTTACTTTCTCATTAGTGAAACCCTGCTTGGATGTTCCCATTCAAGTTCTTGGTTACATCAGCTTTCCTTTGTGTCAGCTGTGTTTACCTGTAATTTATGTGCCATGGAAACAACGTCGTGGTCCGGTGGATTGTATTTGTAACAGTTTGAGAACATCAACCTGATGTCTGCTGCAAATTCTTGAGCATCTCTGTACTGTCTGTTGTCCAGCTTTTTCTAAACAAGACAAATCATTTGGAGTGATCAAAATCTTATTGGTGTAAAGTTGAAACTCATCCAAGTTGCAATAATAAAAACAAGAAGTGGTAAAACTTAATCCAACAACCTGATATATTGCTCCCATCATTAATGAAGATGTATTGATAAAAGCCTGGAATGATCCATTACTTGAAATTACCTTGATGGTGCCGAGGTCCATGGGGTGCTTGATGATGTCATGGTAGTCATGTAGGCCAAGAGTTTCTGTATCGACAGGTTTGTAAAAAGGCCAGGCATACGCCACGTGTTTCTTTGAAAACATCTCTCTAACAAGGCGTGAGCAAAAACGTAACTGTTCCTGACGTTTAGATGCTACAGTCGCTCCCGTCTCCAATCCTCCAACCAGATGATGCTGAGAGTCTGGCTGTAAGGAGTCTTTTTTGGGCTGTTTCAATGGGCGACTGCTGTCTCGACGAGGCCGAGTTACTTCAGATACAGGAGGCGATTCGCTTAGCTGATCACTTGCTGTGGGGGTTGTGGTATCGGCTTTCCTCTTCTGGCTCTTCTTTTGCTGTTGGGACACAACAGATTTAAGGTCAGAAATTGGAGAACTGAAAGTCTTTTATTCCAATGAATGCAGAAATCTCCTTACCTTGATGAGCGCTGGGGAGCTCTGCAGCATGGGGGCAGGGTGGAGGCCCGGGTGTGTCACGGGTGGAGGAGGAACAGATGTCATGCCCTGGGCAAGAACATCAGGGGTAGGGAGGGGGAACGAGGGTCCCAGATGTGATGCATGGTTGGTGGGTGTAGGAGGTACGCGTGGGGGCTGAGTCTGGATCAGAGACTGGATCAGAGGTTGAACCATGGGTTGGACCATGGTTTGAACCATGGGCTGGACCATGGGTTGGACCATGGGCTGAACCATGGGTTGGACCATGGGCTGGACCATGGGTTGAACCATGGGCTGGACCATGGGTTGGACCATGGGCTGGACCATGGGTTGGACCATGGGCTGGACCATGGTTTGAACCATGGGTTGAACCATGGGCTGAGTTAGAGGTTGGATCAAAGGCTGGGTTAAGGGCTGGGCTGGTGTGTTACGAGCCTGTGGAGTGGTTGATGGGGATGAAAAGCCTCTTGTGTGAGGGGTAGTTGAAGGAGATGATGAGTCTTGTCCAGAATCTGACATAGAGATCAGAGCTGGAAGGGAAGACACAAAGTTAGGCACCAAATGTGCACACAAAGGAAACAACAAAAGTATGCCAAGCCCTTGCTTATTATTAGGGACGCATCAATGCTACAAACTTCCTACCCGGGTATAAGTACTTACAGCTGGGAATTACTGATATGGAGTACTAAAAATGCTATAGACCCAACTCACTATTTGGTATGGGTTCTGTAAAACTGAAAAAAAAAATGCTTAAAATAACAAAAACAAAAAACAAGCAATAACTTTCCTAGAAGCAGAGTGAGCAACCCCTTTTGCCAGTGAGGTAGCAGCTTGTAAACAGAATATGTTAGCTAATTTCTGCTCTACAAACAAGTTATATTGTTTCTTTGAATAAAAAAAAAGAAACTGTAATATAGAACTGAATAAAAAAATCTCCCTACGTGGAACACCTGCATCTCTTTAACACACAAATGCCACCGCCCACCACAACAGCTTTTGGTACCAACTGCATGAAGCTTTAAATAGAACTTTTATACAGCTGCTTAGCAAAAAAAAACCTCACACAAACTTGTGTATTTACAAACTCCGTGATTAAGATTGGTGATGATATGTTTACATTCTCATCTTTGCTTAAATTCTTAACAGAACATAAAGAGCCAAGTCTACCATCATGGCAAAACATTTAAAATACAACAGACACTTGTTTCACCAAATGTGATGTCAGAATCTCTGTTACGTAAAAAAGAAACCATACCCGGCTCCCTTCTGCTTCCACGACGGCCCTTGGTAACCACCGCTATCTCTATCTCTTCTTGTGGCATCTCGGTGATCTTCTGGAGAAAAAGCTTTTCCAAGGCTTCGGCCATCAGGACTATATCATCCCCCGACTAAACAAACAAGAACAGAGTCGTGATTATTTAAAAAAATTTTTGAAAATAGACAGATCTTTAAAAATAAACAAATAAATAAAATAAAAAGTTTTCATTTCTTCAAAATTATTTGGAAGCAAAGTGAAGATAGACAGCAATTTTTACAGTCAGACCCATTAATTCCCTCTGGAAGTACCGCAGAGCTACACCATGATAATACAGGCCAGTTAAACCCAACAAAGTGGAAGTATCTGAAAGTGAAGTCACAGAAAGGTTACATAAATGGAATATAAACTGTAGCCTTTTATAAACAGTAGCTCAGGTTTGCATTTGACAAACCTGCGGCCTCAAAATGTCCAGTCACATTTCTCAGAGCTTTCTAAGAGATTGGTTTGGAGACCTGGGAAATTTGGTAGCTGTGGCCAACAGCGCTGCAGACGGATGGAAGCCCTTCAGTGTGGACAAAATTCCTTGACAACTAGAACATCTTTCATGTACTGAGATGTCATTTCCATTCAAAAAGGAGATATTTACATGTCCAACTTTCCAGGACTATTTCATGAGAAAAGAGCTGATTATCGGTGGCTACCTAAACGAAGCGCCTCGTGATTTTTATCTTGAGAGGCGCTATAGAAAAGATCTGTTCTTCTTCTTCTAAACAAAAATGTAACTAATAAGTTTGAACAATGTGTTTGCCAACACTAAGTGAGTATAACTGGAAGTCAGCAGACTGGGAAGCTTTCAGTAGGTCTAATTTGTTTATTCTACCCTGCTGGTGGTTGAAAATGTCCCGTGTAAAGGTCACAAAAGGTGCCCCAGAGCAAATAAGCCAAATGCTGACAGAATTTTTTTGACACCATTACTGTCAAACACATTTTCAGAAACATTTCTAAGCAGATTGCAAACGCATGTACAGGTCACAAAGTGACTAACCTTGTTGTAGATGTAGCAATTTGTGAACATTGTGTTAAAGTCTTGGATACACTCCTGGGCATTCCAGTAGTAGTTGTTCTCTAGACGCTTTTTTATTGAGCCCATGTCCATTGGAGTCCTTATGATCTTATAATAGTCCTGGTGAAGAAAGACAGACCAACAACAGAATAATCGGAGTGAAGTTAAACATGTAAATGACCTATGATGTGCTGCGATTACTGGTGCTGGGTGTTGCAGTATCAGTGGGACTCTGTTTCTGTTCATCTTCATCAGACAACAGTTGCTCTCACAGGTATGTGCTGCTGAACATGAGAGTATTTGAGCAGCTTGAACTGGGTCCGTGTGTCGTGGAGGACAGATAGAAACAGCAGCAGCCACAAACTCTGACTCGAGTGTGTTACTTCACTGACATTCAATTCGTCTGGCGGTTGGTGCGCTTTCTATGTCCGCCGCGGCCGCAAACAGGTTACTGAGCTGCTGGAATCTTCATTTCTGGGCTTCAAGTTGACAAAGCGCTGAGTAAAATGCGTGTTTTCTGTTTGCCCCAGACGGAGGAGGGTAATGCTGCAGACGCCAATACTATTAGAACAGACGGTAACGAATGTAAACAGAAAAGAAGGGTACTTCGACTGACGCATTGACGCCGCAAAGTACCATGGGAATTGTAGTCTTTGCAGCAAAAAGAGCCGACGGGCCACTCTGGTTCAAGGGGAATATCGATTTTAGGCTTAATTAACTGATTTTACAAAATTTATATGAAATTGATCCAAAATCTATTACTCGTGTCTTGCATAGGGACTAGGGTTTTTAAATTTTTCTTCTATATCAGTACTTTAACAAACCGAGATAAAAAAAAATTCTGCACGTTTAATTTCAAAGGGGCCATATCATGAAAAATCCCCTTTTTAGAGCTTTTTATCATGTCATATTGTTATTTCCTGATGAAAAAGACTCCAAACCCATTTTTGGTTGAGTTCATTCATTTTCATGTCTCAGCTACAAAATCCTGTAAAGCCTTAATGGAAACTTAACATCGTCATCACGCCTTGCTCCCCTCCTGGTAGCTAGTATCTGCTCTGAAACCCGTCTCCCAGGACCAGCACAGGATATGTGGCTTATGCAACTTTTGTCACGCAGCAGGCTTGGTGGTCCAGTGGTTGGTGTGTAGTTTTGCACAGGTTCACATCCCAGCCCCATCAGTAACATTTCCTTCTTTTTTTGCTACATTTGCCAGTATTATGTTTGAACCCTTTAATTGTAAACTGTTTAACAAGAAAAAACTTATCAGTTTTTTTTTTTTTTTTACTTTATTTAGCCAGTGTGAGTCCATGTGAGGTGAGCAGAGTAAATCAACTAAAATGCTGCTTGGAAATGACAAAATTCAAAGATCTTTAGAAACCAAATATTTTTCAGAAATAATCAGTAAAACAAAAATATAAAAACATGAAATAGTAGTTTTTCAAAAAAAATATCCCAATTAAATTATTCCTAAAATCGTTCAGCCTTAATATGGAAACTATAAGTAAAATTTGAGAAAAAAAATACTAAAATGTTTTTTTATTTATTAGACCAAGCAAAAACACAGCAAACTATCAACACAAACAGAAACTATAATTAAATAAGCAGCAAGACTATGAAACAAAATTTGAACACTTCTATATATTTCACACAATGTTTCTCTTTTGTTTTCTTAGCTGTGAGAAATTCCTTTAATGCTCTATATTTTGCTGCTACTGTTTTATTTCCTGTTTGTCTGTACTCATGTTTTTTTATTTTCTGATTTAATTGTTCTGTACGGCCCTTTGATCAGCTGTCATGACTTGACTTTTAAAACTGCTGAATTGCAACTCGCTCCCACAATACTCGTGTCCAAACCGGACAGCTCCTCCACAATACATACACCAACTACTAATTAAGTTTATACTCACTTTTCAATTCCTCTGACTGACTTTAGCACACCTTCAATTTACAAATACATCAAATTTTTCAATCTTTTCTTTATTTTTATGCTCTTTTATACTTCATTAGCTATCTGAAGCCCCCTTCAGACAGGCCATGAAAAACAGAAATGTTCCGGACTCTGTCCGTAAGACCTTTGTGTCTGAATACCAACATCCGGATAACGTTTTCCGTAACTAAACCGGACGAAGCCCCTAGTAACAGGTCCGGACTTGTTACGGACAAGGTGGCTGCTTCAGACTGGTGAGGTCGAGTTCCGGGCAGAGAGGAGAGGGAGGAGGAGGGGGCCAGGGGACGCTGTGCGCACCTAGATAGCTCGCTCCTGTAGCATGCGGCGAACCATGGCAGCTCGCCTCCTACGGTACTGTCTAGACGCGCGACGGAGCGCTTCACACCGCTTCAGTGATTCCTTTAACCATTGAGCTTCATCATCCAGGTCTCTTATGCATCTTCGTGTGTGCAGAATTATGTTTAACATAAGTCAGATCCCCCCAAAGGACAAGTTCCGGTACAAAAGTGGTGTGTCTGAAAACACAGTTCCGGTTAAAAGCCGGATTGAATTGTCCACACATATTCCAGAATGTCTATCTGAAAAGGTTTTTAGTTGCAGGATCCACTGTTTTATCTTAGCCTGCCCACCCCTGCAAGATTTGCAGGTTTGATACACAACCTTTGTCTTGCATTAAAGTAAAATTATTTATGCAAGTTTATTCTAGATTTCTAAATAAATATTAACAAATGATTTTCATTATTTTAGTTAATTGCTATATTTATATTTATGTGATGAATTTTAACTAAAGGCCAAGAAGATAATTTGTTGTTGTAGAAGAATAAAATGAAGTTACGGACCAAATTTTGGATTGTGGAATTAAGTTTATGGTGATATGTTATTGAATGTGATGTTTGCATATAAAATGAGTTTGACATTTGTGATTGTGTAAACAACATGCTGTCAACTAAATCATTTGAATATACAAGAATGTGAAAGCAAAAACAAGTGACTCACAGGCAAATTGAGTTTGACTGCATCTACAGGAGCCTGGAAGGGCCATGCAAACTGGTGTTTCCATAACGTCTTCAACACCACTTTAAGCAGGTACTGAAAAAGAACAAATATACAAATAACTCCATCAATCCAGAGACAATACTGAGTTAAAATATTAATTGGAGAACTCCTGAAGAAAACTTAAAAGGGCTCTGCCAACTGATGCACACGTTTACCCCAAGAAAAGCTGCAGAACCTTGGAGAAAGTCTTAGCCAACTATTGCAATGCATTTAGAGGAACTTCTGTTTGTTAGCAGCTTTAAGGGAACACGAACACGCCCCGCTGTAGAGGTAGAATGTCTTATTTTAAACATGTGTGCTTCCTATAAGCCACGCCTACTTTTAGATGATCTTCAAAGTATGGCTTCAAGGTGTAGCTATGAACACAGACATATAAACGTAGATGTCCCATGAACTGGCGCCACCTATTGGAGCTGCCGTAGTGGCTGGCCACCATCTTAGATGGGTCTCCCTTCGCCCCCAGTGCATTAATTTATACTGAGGAAGGTGCTCACACAACTAAAAAACATATTGTATCAAGCTGTTTCACAAAATCAGACACATTTTATGGCACGATAAATAAAATATAAATATAATTTAACTACAGGGTTTCCCCCAGAAAATGAGTTAAGCCTGTGTCGCACGCTCCGTCCCGCAGCGCTCCTCCATGACAGCGGGGTGGGGGGGGTTTGCACACGTTCCGCTGCTGTTTCTCACCACATCAGCTGATGGAGGCCCTAGTTTCATTGCGCTGTTCGTGTCAGCGGACATGGTAGGGCCAGGGGGCGGGGTGGGGCATGACGCTCAGCCTGGCGGGTGACCAAGCAAAGCCTGGCGGGCCAACAGGCTTATAAAGCCATGGAGAAAACCCTGAACTAAATAAACAAAAACAAAATGCCATCAGGTAGGCTAGAAAAGTCAATAGTAATCCCGAGTGATCTGTTTTCAATAGTACGCTAGTTGTTGCAACCGTAGGCTGCACAAAAACGAGCATAATTGCCCACTCTGCATTGAATTTGGAGAGTGAGGAGACCCATCTAATATGGCGGTGACGCTGTTACTCTCTCCAGCGCACAATGGGGCATCTACATATTCATGTCCATGGTTATGAACACCAGTACCAATTTTTGAAGGAAACCATCAGTCCATAAGGCTGATATAAAGGTTTTGACCCTTTAGCGCCCCCTACTGGTAAACCTGAACAAGAGCTAATAAACATAGCCAAGATCTCATGTTTTATGAGGACATTAAGTCTCATCATTTATTCTTGAAATATGGAGATAAAGCTTATTAGGTAACGTGTTACCTAGCAACTGTTTTTGTTGTGGGTTAGGGTTGTTGCCATGCACAATCATCCAACGATCAAGAAGATATAAAATTTCTGAGTGTGGGACATGGTTGTGGAAATTGCAACAAGAGTCAATACACAGGCCCACGGTCTCATTCCTTATAAGGATATAAAATCTTATTTCATCTTAAAACAGGATTGAGATACAGCATATTAAATCATGTGCTAGCTAGCGATTTTGCGAGTTTGTGGTTGCTTCACTCAAAAAAATATTCAACATGTTTTAGGATTTATTTAACCAGATCTTGTTTAGTGTATAGATCATGTCAGACAGTTTTGCTATAAAATGTAGGAGAAGTACATAAAAATATTGTTTGCCTTTGTAGCAAAATAGGAAGTGAGCATATCCGATAAAGTGACAAAAATTCACCCAAGGATCAAGCAGATAGAAGCGTGTGACTTCTTGTATGTTTTTAGCCAAAACGTATTTACCTTTGTTATTGTGCCACCTAGGTGTAGATTGCAAAGAAAAATAATATCACATCTCCTCCGATCTAGCTGGTCATTTTGATGTAACGTGGTGGTTCGAGCCGCATTAAGATTTACGGAAGAATAAATAACAAAGAGACTATTTCTTTCAGTGAAGAATGAACTAAAATAACAACGAGGCTACCTGTAGCTGGTTGGTTTGCCGTTTGGGTCTGGAAGGGTTCCATGTTTCTGGAGGTGGAGGGTTGAAGGGGAGCGGTGGTGTGGCCAAGGGAGGGTTCAGGCTGCTGCCTGCTTCCAGCCCGTCTCCCATCGCAGTGGTGGGTTGCAGTGACTGAGCAGACAGTTTGGGCAGATTGGACCTGGCAGGGGCAGGCTGGAGTGGGGGGACCGCCCTCAGGCCATTACACTCGTCTCGTGACCCTCTGGAAGGAAGACCACAAAAACCATCAGTTCACAAGTCTCGAAAACCTTTACAGTCAATTACGCTGTCAAGCAACTTTTAATTGAGGTTCTTATAATAATTCTCAATGAACACACTAACATTGGTTCTACTCGGCCTGGACTGGGTTGGGAGTGTTCTCACATGGGTAGCCTTGGATTTTCCCGCACGCAACCGGACGTCTTTTAGCCTTCTTCCTGACGAGGTCTGCCTGGAGCTGAACTGACTGACTGGCTGACTCAAATTGACGTCTATCATTAGAGGGAGCCTCCGATCGGCAGATATGATCAGCCTGCAGGGGCTTCCCGCACGCGAGATTCATTTTGGACGCTGTGAAGTTAACGAGCATCTGACTGAAGCTGCTTCTCTCTGTCTCAATTTTTAACTAACTAACTAACTAACTCTAACTAACTAACTAACTAACTCACACACACAGAGTGCTGCCAAACATTGCAAAAGCAAGACCACTATGACCGCTATTTTTTAAATAATGGAGACACTGCAGACTTCTCCACACACTTTTGCCCCGCCCACGTACTTGGAGATGAGCTCATGACATCACTGATATCTATTTTCACGCTAATATTGGAGACCATCCATGTGCTCAATCACGTCCGCATTCCTAAGGCAGTGTGGAACGAACGCGGCCAGGCTGGAGCAGAGCCAATGCTAGTGAGTAAGTGGCATCTGAGTTCCAGTCCCATATTTAGCTTCAGATGTCAGCGCGACAAAGAAACAAGGCAAAAGAAATACTTCAACCCTCACTTTCCTAAAGACAAACAAAAGCTAATTTTCATCTTTGGAACATTAATTGCTCAGGGAATTGGGATTTTGTCTATACTACAGATTCACTCAGCAGAGCCACAACGTCTGCGCTGATGTGTTCAAAGGAACACAGACTCCAGATCAACTCAAGCACATTTAATGTAAAACCTGATCTGAGATCCAGGGTGACTTAATCACTACAAAAATTAATGATGAATTATGATATAATCATCACTGTATGGCAAGTTTCTCTCAAGTGTGATGCTTGTTCTGATTGTGCTGATTTTACACCCTGTGGTCACTATAGGCTATGGTAAAGTGTGGTTAATCACGGATCAAGAATCAGAGAAGTGTCATGTCACCTTTAGGTTACAGAGAATGTTTCACCGCAGTTTATATTTACTTTCATGGCTTTTTTTTCTGACACTGAGCTCTGTAACAACCAAAACCCTACTATCCTCATGCATTTATATCAAATGGCATCTGTCTTGAGCCTACTTTATACTTCTCTGCTTGCGTCGGTACAGAGACACGAAGCACCATTTTGAGTAGGTGCAATGGCTCTCTGACAGACTTTCAGAAGCTGACGGAGACACGCCCAACTTTTCAAATATCCGTCGAAAGTGATGGAAACCGCAAGCTTGCGATTGGTCAGAATGCAGCTTCCTTTAAATTAATCAGCAGCACTGCCATTTCCCCCATCAAAAAACAAAAATATTTTGCAGCAGACAGGGAACAGTTTGAACTAGGGCCCAACTGATATGCTTTTTTTTATGTAGGTGAATGCAAGCCTTCCCTTCCACTGCTTTATGCTAAAACAACTAGTTACAAAATGTTTTTTCTGGCTTAGCTAACTCTGGGGAATCGAACAACACACACAAGTTAGGGACAGAAGATCCTTATAAGAATATTAAAATAATAAAAATGCAGCAATAAATAAAATGTAATACTTGTGCTTTGTAGGGATGCACCGATGGATCGGCATTTAATCGTAATCGGCCGATAGCGCCCCTATCGGTTTTGATCGGAATTTTCAAAATAGATCAAAGCAGACCGATCAGGTAGGGTTGTCACGGTAACCAGTGTAGCAGTAAACCCCGGTAAAAAAGAAAAAAAAAGTTGACAATAATAATAACCGTCTTGTTTAAAAAAAAACTATATTATCTTGGTGGGTTTACCGTGGCTGTGGTGTAGGCGCGGTGACCCTTACCAGCCACCGTATCATCTGCTGAAGTTGCAGGACCGGCGGCACATACGCGCTTTGCTGTTTACAACCAAAACTTTCTTGAAGCTAAAGCTGAAATAATGGCCAAAGGAGACAGCAGTGCTCAGGAGGACATTTTTTATCCCTCAAAGAAGACAAAGTCGGAATTACGGGCATCGTTTAGATATTTGAAGAATGCCGAGGGAGTTTATAGAAGACGGACGGCTATCCTGTTTGCAGCACGTGCAGAAAAAGTGTCTGTGAAAGGCAGCAACGCTTCAAATCTCATGACACATCTGCGTGACCATCACCCACAACTCTGCAGTCAATGCAAGGCAAGTTAACGTTAGCGTTTTAGCTAAAATGCATGATCCGTAGGGCTGTAGCGAAGCCTCGACGAAGTCGACGGCTCGATTCTAAAAATTTGTCGACGTCAGATCCGGAAGTCGACGCACCGCGCCCACTTGTTGCATCCCCAGGAGTTTGTAAATAGAGGAGGAATCTGCCTGTTCTTCCTCTAGTTCGCCCTCTTCTCCGCCTTCACTAACATCTCCGCCAAATACCGAAGACCCGGAACAACGTCCGTCCACTACTAGATTATTTTCCTGTTTTGCCCCTTCGTCTCCCGGCAACGGACAACAACTTCCGGGGTCAGATGCGCTGCTTCGTGTCTATCGCAGATGTAGAAAATCACCGGGAGCGCTTCTCCCTTCATAAAGGAGCTTCTTTCAGACATGAGGAGAGCTGTTTTGGTGGTAGCAGTCTCTCCTCCGTGCTGGTCTGTTTGCTGCTGGGTGTTTTTGGTTTATTTAAACTTGGTAACTTGAACTTAATGTTGGTAAAGCTACTGTTAGCATATTCGCTAACAGCTTCTTGCGTTGGGATAAGCTGTTACGTTTTGGTTTAGAGTTCATCTTTTTTGTGGTGTAGATCTCCCTTTTATTACATTTAGAGTGTTGTGGGTTTTCGGTTTAGTGTAAAATATCACCTGAGTTTGGTTTAACCCGTAAGACCACTCGCCTCACGCACATAAAGCCGGGCGTACACTGTGCGACTTTTTCACTCGCAGCGTTCAGCTTCAGCTCAAACTGTACGACTTCCTCGCAGGGCAGATCTCACGAGTCGTGTGCTCACACTGTACGACCCAGTTCTCGCATGCGACCTGACTGCTCACACTGTACGTCTGGTAGCAACACGTCGGCCCTAAAAATGTGCTAAAAATATCAGTTTTTACTCAACACGTCAGACTTTTTTGTCTTGCCTGTTGTCCTTCGGGAGTGCTGCAGGAGGACACACAGGGATTTATGGGGGTTGGATGAGGAAAACGAAATAAAGAGAGTAAATCTGTGTTTTGTGATCAGTTTAATTTGACATGAACACGACAAACACGCTTTCTTGACAATCTTTGTGAGTAAAAAAAAATGTGTAGAAACAAAAACGAACAGTGTGTGTTATTAGGGAAATAGCGAGCGACCGGCCGGCGTTGATGCAGGATTGCGCGCGCATGCGCCGTGAGCGGTTCTGATACTTTTTGGATCGTAGCTGCTCGCAGCGCCGCTTCAACAGTGCGATACCCTCACGAGGGACGAGCGAAATATTAAACACACCAGAAGTCCCTGCGACCTCACGACTGCTGATCGGCGGCTGGTCACGTGGTGTTAATCGCCTCTCGTAACCCCCTGTACACTACACGACCGCTCGGCGCAAAACTCGCCCCGATGTCGTGGCTTCTCGCACGAGTGGAAAATCGGCTCAAAAAAGTGAAAAAGTCGCACAGTGTACGCCCGGCTTAAGTGACCAAAACAAAGCAGCATGGAGACACTCCATCTTCTACCACCTCTCAGGCAGCAGCCTGCACTCCCAAGTTCTACACGTCACCAGAACATAACCAACCAACACAATAAACGCAGTGTTATACAAAATGGAAGGCCTGTAGTGTTTATTCTCTTACAGTAAGAATTTATCAATTTTTTTTGAGGAATTTATTTGAGGTTTTCTGGTTTTTGTTAATTGTGCAATAGAAAAATAATCATTAGATTAATTTTCTAAATAGTCATTAGAATAGTCGACTATTCGATAAAATAATCGTCAGAATAATCGTTTTAAAAATAATGGTTTACCCCCAGCCCTAATGATCCGAGGATTTGGGTTGAGGGAGAATGCACCAAGTAGCTATATAAAGCAGCCGCAGCGCCGCTACCTGCATATAAACCATGTCACGGACACTCCCATGTTTAAATGACGCTATGCCTTACGGGGCTCCCAGCGGCAGATAAGCGTTGGTCTCTCTCCGAGAATAATTATGAATTTAACAATGATTACTGCCTGATGACATTTTCCCCACATCTGCAAAGCTCACTGGAAGGACACAAACCGAGGACAATATTTTCCTGATATAGGGTTTATTACTCAAGTAAGGGTAAAAAAGTATCTGATTAGAAGGCTACTTGAGTATTGAGTATCATCTGAACTAATATTTTTAAATGATGATATCAAACAGACATAAAATAAGAAGTTATTGGCAAATACTGGTATTTTAAAGACTAAAGGGAAAAATGTAAACAAATAAACAACATAATTACAAAATAACACATTTTAGGCAAAATTTAGACACAAACTGAGGACAATATTTCCTGACATACAGGGTTTATTTAATTGTGTGAAAATGTAGCACGTTTAAAAAATATATACCGCGATAATACCGAAAACCGTGGTAATTTTGGTCACAATAACCGTGAGGTTAAATTTTCACACCGTGACAACCCTAATACAGACCATTTTAGATTAGGTAGCATTTCCTTTATTCCCAGATTATGTAGTTTGTAGCACTCATTATAATGTTGTAGAAAATTTCTGGCCAATCCACGTGATCGGTGATCAGCATTCTTTGATATCGGTATCGGTGATCGGCAACAAAAAACCTGATCAGTGCATCCCTAGTGCTTTGTAACAAAGTAACACTCTGTGGAAGTTAACTTGGTGAACTTATTCACCCTGGACAGGAAATAATTGCACATAAGAAGCATAAATAAGAATACATAAAAAAAGTTCCAAAACAATGATTTGTGTTTAAAGTTCAAAGGAGTGGAGCCCCACAACTTGAGTTCATAAAGCTGGCGCCATCTGCTGGATAGGTAGCGCAATATCGGCCGTCTTTTTGGCCGATAGCCGATACTGTTAATGACCCCAATATCGGTCGGGCCCTAGTTTGAACAACACCTCACGGAAAAAGACAGTAAATATAGAAGTTTATTTAGCCGTGACTGAAGCAGTACAAAGATACGCCGCAAACATTTAATTTATGGATGGAAATTTAGAGGTGCTGATCACAAGAAGAGGTGGAGAAGAATGAGAGACAAATTTATCAGTGTTAAATAGTCTCTAAAATACTTTTGATAATGTAAACACAGTAGTAAACACACTATCTTGGACTGGATATGTGGCTGTAATGGTCGCAGGATACCCCAGAAAAGCGCTACACCCTCTGTTGTCCTTGGGGGAATTGGTCTGCAAAACCCCCACGGTGACAGAGAAGTCTGAAGGGAAAACATCTCCTTCAATGCATGCGCACAACTCCACACTCGAGCTGATGGAGAAGTGTTAATTAGGCTTTGTTCTGATCAAATACAACAGAATACATGTTGATGCCTTAATGGCCCCTGTGTTCATCTGTGCATCAGTAAATTCAACTTTTGCCTTAAATAAACGGATGTTTTTGAAATGCATGTAAACGCGTTAAGCCTGATTCATGCTTCTCCGTCAGCTCTGCAAGGGATAGACATGCACGGATTGACGGAAGCGTTTCGCCCTCATACTTCTCCGTCTCCTGGAGAGTGTTGCAAAGCAATTCCCTGGCAGGAAAGCAGAGGGCGTAGCGCTGTTCTGTGGTATCCTGTCATGTATCGGTCCAAGATAGTGTGTTTATATTGTGTTTTTGTATATAAGAGACTTTTTAACACAGACAAATTAGTCTCATCCTCCTCCACCTCTTCATGCGCTCGCCACCTCTAAACCCACATTTCCAGTCATTTCCGTCCACAAATAAAATGGTTGCTGCGCATCTTTTCACTCCTCCAGTCACGGGGAAATTAAATGTTCATATTTTAGAGTTTTTTCGCAAGGTATTCTTCAAGCTGCTTTGTGTCTGCCGCTAGTTATCCTCGGCTCTCTTTATGTTTGTGAGGGCGCAATGGCGGCGCTGTAGACGACAGCAGCATCCTGACCAAACACAAGCTTGCGTTGTCTGTCTCGAATGACGGATGTTTAGAAAAGAGAGCTTGATACTGTCCGCCCTTGCGGAGCTCTCCAGCAGGCCCGCAAGGATGTTGCGTGTCTCCGCACTGACGCAGACGGAGAAGCATGAATCAGGCTTTAGTCTGGTTGAAGTTAATCTGGTTCTAACTGAGCTGAAGTACCCAGATAACACGATAGGAGCCAAGCTTCTGCACGTAAACAGCTCAGTCAATCTAGTACAGGTTGAACAATTCTGTCCATCACCTGTAACTTTCTTACTTTTGTCTGTGCATACACTGCTGATCCTAAGAGGACCAATCTTTAAGGAACTTACATGTTTGATGCTGTGCCGCTGTGGTCTTAATCCACTAGTGTGATCATTTCTCAGTCAGTAAGGTGGCACTTTCCTGAGGTAACACAGGAAGTTTGTCAGCGAGATGCAACAGGGATCCAAGGAAACTACAACAAAGAGGCAGAATGTGGAGTGTCCCACCTTTAAGAAAAACAACAAAGTGACAACAACATGTCAAACATAGCCCGTTTCTAAATACTTTAAGGATTGGTGTCTGGTCAAGCCATTATAAAGAGTCAAGCCTATAATGTGTGCAAATGAATTGTCCTTATAACAAAATAAACACATAAATATCTTTATGCCTTTGGACAGCTTTTGAAACTAACTTAAGTCCAATCAGTCTACAGCAGATGATCAGTATTCAGAAGTCTATAGAAAACAGGGAAAACTATCCAGTTAAAGGATGAAGGACAGATAAAAGTAATGCAATTACAAAGAAAAGCTTAAATAAAGTATTACACACTGGTGATGGGCACTGAGCTATCAGATCTCTAGGGTCTATGTTAATAAGATATTTCTCCACTGAGACCATCGATATGACAGAATTTAATCAGCCTTCAGTCAACAACCAAAAATACTCCAGTTCCAATTCTATAGTAAACATTAAAATAAGAAAATTGTTGAACAGGTAAAGATGCATTTTGTGTAGAAATAAACCAAAATCCCATTTTTATGATTAAAACATTGCCAAGACCTTTAACATGAAAAACCATCATAAATATGGTTCTATATTATGGCATTATTGTCTTGAACTTTACTTGTTAAGCAGCAGTAAAAAAAAATTGTAGGCACAGAAAAATCGTATTAGGTTTAAGACACAAAACAGATGGTTTGGAGGCCGAACACCCTTTCCACGAATCAAGAATACATTTAAGATACTATAAATTTTTGTCTGTAGTATGGATGCTTGATATGATCGGCTGCTATTGGCATTAAAATTTAATATCTGAAAATATTGGTATTGGTTTTCAGTCTTTTAATGACAACGTTTACATAACATATACATATTACACATCAGTCTCTTCAGTTCAGTCAAGTTTCTAAGATATTTTAATTTATTTGGCATAATTTGTAAGTAGAAATTTGCCCTGTGTAGTGGACGTACATTGTTCTCCCAGCATGTAGCTAAGTGTAGCTAGCCAGCTAACAAATGACTAAAACAAAAAACTGCAATCTTCCTCCAAAGCTTGCTTATCTTATCTGAAGATCTTTATAAATGTTTTTATCAACGTAACTGCAATAAACAGAAAAAGAAAAAATACATTACTGATACACACAGCTTAGGGAGATTGAGATTCAGTAGTTGTTGGGGGACAAAATAAATATGGCACTTTTCCTGTAACTAACTTAAAAAGAAGTAGTTGTTCTGTTTCACTTTTTTTTATTTAAGTATGCATGGTAGAAGAAATGTGATTTAGTAACCTAAAAACACTGTGTATTGGCTCAGTGTCGGCACAAAAGCTAATATAGAGCATCCCTAATTTGAAGTATAAATTTCATAATTAGAATAAAAGTGTGCTAAAATTATGAATACTCGAGTCCTAACTGAATTAAATAAAAACTAAAGGACCAAATAATCAGACTACTATATTATAACGTAAATAAGGTCTGACAATATTTTATGATTATCATTAACCAGTAATTTCATGTCAAAACACGTAGAAGCTGCTGTTATATAAGATGAACAATTTGGTTAAGTCGTAATATTCAAACTTGAGTTTGCTCTAAACATGTTTCTGCAACCCACATGTATGCTTCTCAATTGACAGCTTCGCACGTAAATAGCGTTACAGAATACAAATTCCACTCGACTGATATTCTCGAAGTGACTTACGCCGCGCTTCACATGAACTTCTGCGCCATTATGCGTAAACTACGTTAACGATACAGCGTAACTTATGTCACGAATACGGCCTACGGGGCTACAAACAAACAGCCTAGCAGCTAACTTACTAGCATGATACCGACCAGCAGCTAACGTGCACACTGACAGCTACAAATACTTACTGCCACTAACGTTACCCAAATACAAACACATAGAGAGGTAATATACAACACAGAGTGTGTACATAAACACCAAACAGCGCTCCAATAAATAGTAAAACAATATATATCCCGTGTGCCCGAACCGGTGAAAGGCCTGCGCACAGCTCACACTCCGCTTTCCGAAGAGCTCACTGACAGCGAGTGAAATACAGCAACAGGGGCCACTGTAAACCCTTCAGTTGAGTCCTACGCTTGTACGCGTTTGTTTAATACACCACTAACATATAAACAATGACTTATAAGGCGATTTTTACCTCGTAGAGTCGCTTGTCAACGCTCGCAGACCTTCCTCGCCCCAAATCCAGAACAAACAGTCCCGTTCTACGTCGATTACGTCAGACGCAAGGGGCAGACCAAACGTGCGTCATCCGAATGTCACCTCCGACTCCTCCTGTTCTTCCTACGGGTGCGATTATGCAATATCTGATAATTCCAGCTGGAATGAAAGCTGGTTGTAATACAGAAAAAAAAACATTTAAAACACAACTAACCAAATAAAATACTTTTCAGAGCCTGCCGACAGAAAGGCTTTGCAAAACTCATTAAAATAAATGAGGCCAAATAAGTAAAACAAAAAAGAATAAAAAGGTAAATATTGAGAAATTTGACTAGTCCTAATAAATTATTTTCACGAATCGCTAAAAAAATAAGTGTATGTCAATTCTTTATTTCATCCACACATTTATAACAAATTGTACAAAAAAAAGTTTAAATAGCTGCAAGCTATTGGGTGGAATGGGATTAAATGGCCGTTTTATGTGGTGGGAAACGAGGTCGGAACAAGGGCCATCCCTTTTTGAAACTGCAAAAGGGCAACATTGCAACTATAAAATACACGCAGAGATGTCATAATTTGGGCTGTAAAAAAAACTGTCAACAAGTTTGTGTACTGTCTTGCTGTTTAAATTATCATTAAATCGATCTGAATGATGACAAAAACAGATTTATTTGTCCATTTTATTTCTTGAATGAAACTATTGTTACATGACTATTCATAACATTCCATACATTTTTATAGCCAGGCCTCAAACTACAAGTTTAAAAAGTTCACGTTGTAAATTTCAACCACTTTGGAAAAGCTGTCTTTCCCAGTTTTCATCTTCAGTATGCCAAATGTTTGCCGTTGTCACAAGGAGAAAATGGTGCTTTAACATAGTACTTGATATTCAGGATCTTAAAAAAAAAAGTATCACAAAGACCACAAAAAACATTTAGGGTGAAAATCAGATATCTTCAGAAATATTGGTTTTACCTTCTAAGATTTAAACAATAATATTAATCTAACATGTGTGCCATTAATAGCAGAGAAAGCATAGGAAACTAATAATCCAATTAAGGAAAGGTCAGACAAATCAACTTCCTCAAAAATATTTGGTTGACAATCATGCATAAAAACTGATGTGACTTCTGAGTTTTTAAATTGTTTTTTATTGTAATCCTAGCATGAAAAAATAAACATCAGACCACGCTTAACTGAAAAAGGGAAAAAAATGACATAAGCACATATTTAAATAATGAAGTAGCATGTATGTACACTTAATTTTCCAAGCAGTTTAATAAAACTCAATAAAGAGGGAGGATGGCCACCAACAGGTTAAAGAAAAGGGCATCAATTATTCTTGATCCTCCTCTAAAGCAAAAGCTCCCTCCTCCTGCTGGTCAGCCTTTACTCCCTCCTCATCAGCCTCATCATATACCACGTATCCTTCCTCCTCCTCTTCGTCTTTTTCAACTCCATAACCTTCTTCCGCCTCCTGGTTCTCCTGTTCTTCCTGGTTTTCTTGCAGCTGTTGCTCCTCTTCCATCTTTTCCTCCTCTTCCACAGCTTCTACTGCTTCTGCTTCATCTGCTGCTGCCCCACCTTGTTCTACTTCTGCTCCTGTTTCTGTCACTGCTGTATCTGCTCCTTCCTCCTTTGTCACGTTTTTGCCTGCCTCTTCCTCCTGCCCAGGCTCATCGTTGGACTGGGTCATCTCCGTCTGGCTGGTTGCCTTCTCACCAGTCAGATCCAGAGACACGTCCATCGCCATCGAGTCATCTGGATCCTGGTCATCCTGGTTACCAGTGAATGGGTTTTCACCCTGACGGTAACAAGTGTAAAATGTTTTGTTAACACAGTTGAATTTTGAAACAAAAGCAGGCACAAGCAATGGTGTTAACTGAAATCAGAGGGTCTTGTGACATTAAAGCCTAAGAAGTGACTTAACAATTTGATTTGTCTGAGAGCCCATTTGATCACCTCAACCTTTAGCTCAGCAAATAAATCCAGTCCCAAAGCAGACTGATGCCATAAAAAACAGGTCTAATGAGCTCGACACACGGGAGGCCACATCACCTCTTCTCCATTCTTTTTCAATGAGACACGCACGACGAAGCGATAATCACAGGTTGCCCTCCCGCTATATGACACAGGAAAAATGTGCACATGAAATTTTGCGCTCGTGCACGTCTCTTGCACAGGCGAGCCGGCAGTTTGATCCCAGAAAGTTGAGAAATGTTTAACTTTTCATTGCTGTCACTCGGACAAGGACCAATCAGCGGAGGTTTTATTGACTGACCAATGAGCAGACAGGATGCTTCTTTGTACATCTCCGGGCAAACAAGGAGGAAAATGTAATACTTGCCATGTCGGATTTCTCAGAGCTTTACAACATTTCTACAAAAGAATAAACAGATCTTCACAAAAAGGCAGCAGCGTGGGAAATTGATGGTGACAGAATTAATACATCAGGTAGCAAACCTGAATAAAAAATAAACAGCTTTAATGACCCAAAATTCCCTCCAATCTGACGGCCAATCAAAACAACAGAAGACTCATTTTTCGGCCTGGAACAGGCTGGCTTTAGCCGCTGGCCGCATGTCGCTTCCCGTGTGTCAGGTTTTCAAAGCGATAGCGCTGACTTTTGCCGATTGTGGTCGTTTGTTACCTTCCGTGTGTCGAGCCCATCATGTGCAACATTTTACAGAAGTTCATGTGAATAATTTCTCTTACCACGCCACACAGAGGTCATCTCAACAGGATATCAAACTTCTGCTGAAGTTGGCTGCGTGAATGCACCAGAAAAAGTGCTACATTTTGGCGCTGGTGTAATCTACATATGGTCTGGCAAGCCATCCTATATAAGGAGCCTAAAGCCTGATTTATACTTCAGCAGGTATGCGCTCACGTGCACACATACTAACAGACGTCTTCCGTTGTTACTTTGTTGGTGCGTCAGTGCTGTGAAACAATTCTCCGCCAAGACAGCAGAGGGCGTAGCACTTTTCTGGGGTATCCTGCCAACAGTGCAGGTACGTCTCTAATGCATTTACACTGTGTTTATGTATTACAAAGACTTTTTAACGATTTGTCCTCCACTTCTACAAGCAGTCACCAACTCTAAAGTCATGTTTCCTGTAATTTCCTGACATGAATAAAACGTTTCCTGCTCATTTTTGTACTCCTTCAGTCACGGCTGTGTTAACATTCATATTGTCAAACTTTTACCGCAAGATGTTCTCCAAACTGCTCCGTGAATAACATTAGTAATGTTTGGCTCTCGGTTTAGTTTAAGGTGGAATGGTGGTGCTGTTGACGAAGTTGAAGGAAGCAGCATCCTGACCATTAACAGGCTTGTGGTCTCGGTCTCTTTTGATGGATAGTTAAAAAAAGGTGGGCTCTACTTCGTCTGTTCTTGTGCACTTGTTGCAGAGCCCTTGTGATGACGCATAATGGAGTTGCGCATCTATGTACCAATGCAGACAGAGAAATATAAACTAGCCTTAAGTTATGCCCATCTACCTCTGGTCCATGGGTCCATGATTGCCAACAAAATGAATGGGAGACTATGGACCAATGAGTCATTTTCTGACCCCCTGCCAAGAAAGTACTTAACGTATTTCCTACATGCGGCAAAAGTTATTTTAGGTTTTGTGTGAAGACACGTATGAGGACTCCAACTGCTCATCTCACCAAATTTCCATCATCAGACAAGGAGAAGTAAAATGACTAAGTTTAGAAACTTTGAATCATCCTTCAAAAAGAGCAGCCTGCAGAAAAAGACCATTTGCTGCTGCTAGGGTTTGTCTAGATTTCTTTGCTAGTCTATATGTGTAAATAACTTACAGTAGTATGTTGATCTGTGAAATAGATTTGCTGCTGTTTAAAAACAGTAATAAGTCTTGGCCCTAATCAGATGAGCCATTAGCTCACAAGTCTTCTAGAACCAAGTTTAATGTTCTCACAGACCACTGAGGTAAATACAACTCGTAAGAGAGTTCATTTGATCTGTTGCAATGAAATATACTTTAAAGATCCCAGGAAATAAAGCTACCATTACACGACACTGCACATACCTTAAGGTAGCTCTCCAGCTTCTTGCCAATGAGTTTATGGTTCAGGATGCTACGAGCAACGGACAGACTGCCTCGCTTGGACTGCTCCATCATACCCTAAGCAAGAGAAAGGGATGGATCCAGGTGACAAACACTTAACATCTATGAAATGATTGAAAAAGTGTGGTCTCAAGTTTTAAAGAGTATTTGTAGAAAGCGTGTGAGTACAGAACTTTTCATGTAAATTACCAACAAACTGAGCTCATAAACCTATTTTATTTGCAAGAATAATGAATTTTAAAATGTTACCTTCAATAAATTTCAAAGATGCCGACTGGAATGAGTCATGATTTGAAAAAACATATTGGCAAAAAAAATGTTTAAAGGGATTCAATATGGCATTGCCAGCATTGCTTTTGATGCATTTATTATTTTCTCCATGCCCACACTAACAAGTGTAAGAACAGTAGGGTTGGGTATCGTTTAATTTTGAACGATTCCAATTCCTTGTTTCGATTCCGGTTCCTATCGATTCCCGATTCAGATTCTTTCAAGACATGACATGTTTTAAATGAGCCAGCTAACCACAGGTCCTACTTGATAAAATAATCGTAACTTCAACATGAATTTTAATTCTATGAACAATAACTTCACCTTCATTTAGACAAAAACATGTTTTGGACCACAACCAAAGTCTGGAAGAAGCCTCTGGGATGAGAGACTAAATGTCTCCAACATATCTTGAAATGTCCAGCTGTTTTCAGCTAAAACTTTCAGGATGATCACGTCCAGGATGACTGAGAACTACCGTATTTTCCGGACTATAAGCCGCTACTTTTTTCCCACGCTTTGAACTATGCGGCTTATGAGGTGCGGCTTTACTGAAGATTTTCCTTCACCTGCCACTAGGGGGCGCTTTAGCAGAAAGTAAAACAGGTGGAAGTCAAAAGTGGAAATCGAAGAAAGTGCTCATTTTAATTTAGCGCATGCAAGCAGCCGGCACGACGAAGAATTTTTTTCAAATCCATACCCCCTCATCATGGTAACTACACGTATGAGTTCATATGACGCCGCATTTAAGTTGAAGGCCATCGATCTGGCAGTAAAGGAGGGAAACAGTGCTGCCGCACGTCAGCTTGGCATGAATGAATCCATGGTTCGGAGCTGGAGACGGCAGCGGGAAGAACTCATTCAAGCCAGCTTCACCCGGGGATGATGACAGCAACACGGACAGCGACAGTGACATCGCCACAGAAAAGGTATGTGAAGAAGCTCTTCTGAGGCTGTTCAACTCCGACACTGAAGAAGAGGACTTTAATGGCTTTAGTGCGCAAGAGGAAGATGAGAGCGAATGACTTCTTCTGGTAGGCAAGTGTGTTTTATTTACTAACCAGAAGAGCTGTAGCGAAGCCTCGATGACGTCGACGGCTCGATTCAAAAAATTTGTCAACGTCAGATCCGGTAGTTCACGCACCACGCCCACTTGTTGCATCCCCAGGAGTTTGTAAATAGGAGGAATCTGCGTGTTTCTTCTCCGCCTTCACCAACATCTCCACCAAATACCGAAGACCCGGAACAATGTCCGTCCGCTACTAGATTCCTTTCCTGTTTTGCCCGCCTTCGTCTCCCGGCAACGGACAACAACTTCCGAGGTCAGATGTGCAGCTTCGTTTCTATTGCAGATGTAGAAAATCACCGGAAGCGTTTCTCCCGTCATAAAGGAGCTTCTTTCAGACATTAGGAGAGCTGTTTTTGTGGTAGCAGTCTCTCCTCCGTGCTGGTCTGTTTGCTGCTGGGTATTTTTGGTTTATTTAAACTTGTTAACTTGAACTTAACGTTGGTAAAGCTACTGTTAGCATTTTCGCTAACAGCTTCTTGCGTTTGGATAAGCTGTTACATTTTGGTTTAGAGTTAATCTTTTTTGTGGTGCAGATCTCCTTTTTATTACAATTAGAGTGTTGTGGGTTTTCGGTTTAGTTTAAAATATCACCTGAGTTTGGTTTAACCTCCCAGTTTAGAGTTTGGACCTTTGGAGATCCTTATTTTGGTCCAAAACCCAGTAATCTTTGCCCAGAGGGACATCCCTAGTTATTTGTACATTTGTTTTAATTGCCCACAGGCAGAATTAGTTTTATTATTCCCAACCTGTGGATGGAAAGGTTTATGTTTTTTTGTTGTTGTAAATAAACCTGATCATCATTTTAACTTGTAAATCCCGTGTTATTGTCCCTTCCTTTTTGCACACGAGCCAAACTCCCCAGGAAGGGTCGTAACACCACTCGCCTCACGCACATAAGTGACCAAAACAAAGCAGCATGGAGACTCTCCGTCTCCAACCACCTCTCAAGCAGCAGCCTGCACTCCCAAGTTCTACACGTCACCAGAACATAACCAACCAACACAATAAAAGCAGTGTTATACAAAATGGAAGGCCTGTAGTGTTTATTCTCTTACAGTACTGATTTATCAATTTTTTTTGAAGAATTTATTAGAGATTTTTTGGTTTTTATTAACTGTGCAATAGAAAAATAATCATTAGATAAATTGTCTGAATGGTCAATAGAATAGTCGACTATTCAATAAAATAATCGTCAGAATAATCGTTTTAAAAATAATCGTTTACCCCCAGCCCTACTAACCAGGCATGTTTTGTGTGCAGTTTTTATTTTCTAATCATCCAGGGCTTATTAATGCTGTGTCAGCGCTGTTCTTTTCTTCTAAACATGCAAATTACCGGTAATAACGTGACAGTTCTGTTTTTATTTTATAACCATCCAGAAATATGAATGCTATCAGTGCCGTTTTCTTTTCTAAACATGCAGGCACGTTCACCCGTGTTTAAAATTCATTTTGTTGAATTAAAACAACAACGAAAAACCTCAGTGTGGCATCTTTCTGTCTAATTATCTTATGGTATGGCCGTACATGCGCTGTGCGCCGGAGACCTGCATGTGGCTGCTGCGCCGCGGCTTGTATTCGAGTGCGGTGTGTGTGTGTAGAAAACCTTTTTGTTGGTGCGGCTTATATTGAGGTGCGCTCTATAGTCCGGAAATTACGGTACACCTCCATGCTGCAGCAGCATTCAGTCAGAACAGAAAGTGAAAGTTAAATGTAGCTGCTGTCAGTTACAATCTAATAGATTTTAAACATTAAGGCCCTGTCCACACGTAGCCGGGGATCTGCCAAAACGTAGATATTTTTCTACATTTTGGCCTGTCATCCACACGAAAACAGAGTTTTTTCACAAGAAAACGGATCTTTTTAAAAACTCCGGCCAAAGTGAAGATCTGCGTTTTCTCCATTTTGGGTGTCTGCGTGTGGACAGACAAAACCGGAGTTTTAAGGTCCGCAACGTCACTTTCCACGACAGAAAATGCTGACATCACGTGTGCGACCTGTGTTTACACTAGCCGACAGCATGGAAGCCCTCAGAGCTGCGCTCTGTCACTACCCGATCCATCAACTGTCCAAGCGCTTTCTGCTTGTTTGTTTTTGCAAGCGGAATTACTGCTCCTTGCGGAAGACCACAGACGAAGGACGAGGTTAAGAACGGGGGAAGTACTGCCGCCTACAGGTCTGGCATGTCCTTAACAACGTATTTATCCGGTTACGGGTGGACAGAGTTTTTTTTAAAACGAGGTGGTGTGGATGCAAGTTTTTGGAGGGGCGGATATTCGTTTTTAAAAAACCCCGGCTACGTGTGGACTAGGCCTAAAACTCTCAACAGAGATAGTTCAGAAAGGAAATTAAAATGTTCACAACTTTGTGTGTGATTTATTATTATTATTATTTATTGTGGCAGAAGCTGGTGTGGTCCACCACAGAGAAAGCTTCTCTAGCATGATGACTTTAATTATTCTACAGGTTATTGTTCAGCCGCCGCCCCCGCCCCCCCCCCCCACACACACACACACACTCACGAGTGTTGGTGAGTGGCTGCGTCTGACTGCTGACGCTCCGTGTGTGTTTTTATTTCTGCAGTGAGACAAACTCACCTCACACCGTCCAGAGTTTGTTCTTTAAAGCTTCTATTAAATCCACCATGTTGACGTATTTTTACAAGTAAGTTTACATCACGGAGTAAAAGTTTGGCAGAAGCGTTTGTTTATATCTGGCCGCTGCGCGAGGGTGGGGGGGACTCGGTGCTGCACACAGACAGCTGATGTGATCAGCTCTGAAAAGCGCTGATCACAATTTGCAGATCACGTTTATTTTTCACGGAGATCGGCCGCGGATTCTCTTCCGTCGGCATTCTAGGAATCTAAACTAGGCATCAAAATAAAAAACTTTGAACAATTCTGGGAAAAATGAACAGTTGGAACCGGTTCCAATTGGTGCTCGATGCCCAAACCTAAAGAACAGTAAATCAGGAACGCTATTCCATACCTTCCTGTTGTAGTTGTGATCAGAAGATTTGACGTGTTTCTGAATCAGGTGGGGCTGCATGGGAATGTAAATGTCACACGCGGCACAATAAGCTGCATCCACCTTCCTCATGAAGTGCTCCATGCCAAACTCTAACAATAAAGAGAATATCCACAGTCAGGGATCACATCTGTGTCAGTGAAAATCCACGTGAAGCTGTGGTTGTGGATGCTTACCCCTGGTGAGGTCCATGTCTTTGTACGTCTGGCAGATGGCAGCGCTGTGGTTTTCCAAGTAGCCAATCCTCTCTGCGGTCTTCTTAAACTTGTTCTGCAAATACTCCTGTGAAAACAAAAGAATTGTTTTAGTTATGTTAATATTTAGTCCAACTTTTCAAATAACAATTTAAGGTATGGCTGGTGTGTTTTTTTAGGATTGTATTTCTGATGCAATGCTTTAATTTCCTAAACCAAGTAGCAACAAGTACACTATTTTTGTATGTATACAAGTAAAAGTTCTCACATTTTGCTCAGTGCTCGTTTTACCACATGTACTTTTATGAATGTTATTGTAAAAAAAAAAAAGAAAAAAAAGGCAGCAAATCATGTATTTTAATTTAGCGTCTTCTCAATCATTCATGTCCTACACCAGAAAGGTCCAAAGGTCTGACACAGGCAAATATTGTGCAACTTTTCAAGAAATGAAGCAAAACCATGTTTTTGAAAGAGTTTAACCCCAGCTTTCCGCTGGGCGTGAAAACGGTGTGTAATAAAATAGCGGCGTTTTACCCGCGAGGTTCTTTTCAACCGAGAGCAATCCTGCAGCGAAGCAGGAGTGAAAGTGTTTCAAGCCGCTGGTCCAACATAAAAAAATTCTAGGAGAATTGCAACACCACGCATGATTTCAGAAGTCCACACAATAGCAAGCAAGGAGAAAGACAGCTGCACATATTCAAAAGGTTCTGTTTTCTGTTCTGTTAACATCGGCTTCTGGGGTTTCACAGGAAATGACGTACGTTTAAACCGCACATGACTTATTTTTAAAAGTTTCTTAATTTTTTACTGTGCTTTTGTGTTTGACTTCGTGTCTGGCCCGATCAAAACTGTGGTTTGACATTTTTAGGGAAGCGCAGTGCATAAAAAATAGACTTGAGATGTACTGATAGCATCCCTTTGCTTCTGGGACATTACACTTATCTGCTGGTGGAAGCGAACCCTTTCTCTAGAACCACGGCTAATTGCTGCGAAGTACGTTTCACAGCAGTTTTATGACGCTCTCACGTCCAGTGGACAGCCGGGGGAAGTCTGAACGTGCTTGTGTATGTGTAACCCACCTGCAGGAAGTCTGTGGTGGGCTTGGACAGCTGGCTGGTAAGGAACTTGAAATGGTCTTTGTGAAAGCGACTTTCAAGATGAGCTTCCATGTCTTCTTTGTAGAATGACCGAAACTTGCAAACAGAGCATGCAAACATCATCCTGAGAAGAACAGAACACAATGGACCTCAGATGTCAAGCCCATCACTGGAGTATGGTTGTAGCAGAAAATAAAAATAGCTGGTTACTTTTATCCAGCAAATCACCTAGGCATCGTATTTGTGAGGATAATAGTCAGCAAACAAGAGAACGGTGCAGAAAAGGAAGTAAGGAGGACAATTGAATCATTCATGGTTGTTTTTGTTTTCTCACCTTTCAAGGAACCCCCCCCTCCTCTTTCTGGTTTTTGTCGGCTTCTCCTGACCTTGGTTTGGAGTCTGTTTTCCCTGAGCCTTTTTCTTTTCCTCCTGTTTGGTTTCAGCTGATTAACAGCACAAAAAAACACAAATATTATAGGACTCAAAAAAATTCAGCTAACGAGGTTTTGGTGAAAACTGCATGGTAGAAAAAAAATACTATCACTGGAGATCTTTAGTTAAGCTTACCATCATTCCCTGCTTCTGCAGCTTTTGCATCCTGTTAAAAAGAAAATCAGAGAAGAACACAAATATGTTTTGCTTATTGGCCACTTTGTTAGCACAAAGAAATGCTGATTAAATCTGACGCACCTCAGAGACGGTCTCTGGTTTATCGTCACCATTTTTATTAGGTTCTTCTGTAAAAACAGAATACAGAAGCATAAATATAAATAAACAGTTTTCTGTTATAATAACATCAATAATGAACCATTTCTCTACCTTTTGTTTCCTCTGCTCCTTCGCCCTCCGTCTTATTCATCTTTGACTCTGGCTCATCAGCTGTGGATGGAGTCTGTTTTCTCTTCTTCTGAACGTTCTGCGGTGGTTTTACCTGCTATGTTACAGAAAACCTCATTTGCACTCAAAATACCCAACTTCCCTACTTCAGTGAAAGAAAAAAAAATAAATAAAAAGTTTTTATTCCAAATTTAAACCTGCAATGCAGAGCTACTCCCCCAACCGAAGGTTGAGAATTGACACAAATATCAATAATTGTTTAAACCTTTGGGAAACACCGTACTTAATTAGAAAAATTTATTAATTTTCTGATTAATTAACCATAGCACAATGAACATAATTTCAAAACACTGTACTTATTCCTTTTTCTGATGAAAAAATTATATTTTCATCGATTGTTGTGGTCCTCTGCAACAACAGTTCGTCATACACTGCACTGCAGGTTAAAAACAGTTGAAATTATCTTGAGCTAAACTGATGACCAGTAGCAAAAAGGACACTAAGAAGTGGCTTATTTACTGTAGAAAACAGCAGTTCCATGACACAACTCAGCCCAGTGTAATCAAAGGCTTGAAGGAATGTGAAGTGCAATTATTTATGTCCACTGTGTTGTTTTTTGTGACAAACTGCTAAACATGGCAACCATTATCTCCAAGTACTTCATGCTGACTAATCAGCTGTCACAGAAATAAAAGCTGAGGGAATCAGAAAGGGCTAAAGACTGGCCCAGTGTCTGAGGTTTTATTTGGCCGGAGGTACTTACTTTGTTGAGGGGTCTCTTGCGGCCTCGCTGGCGGCCACCCCGTGGCCCCCCTCCAATATGCCTCCCAGAGAAGTCTTGAGGCCCTGGAGAAGAACCCTGGAAACCCACACTCTCAGGGTACATGCGGTTGGACAGGAGGGATGGGAGCTTGCCTCTACCACCTCCACGGTGGGAAAGGCCACCGCTGCCACTTCCCCGCAAACCTCCACCTAATGAAGTGGGGTCAGACCTGCGGCTTCCAAACCCTCCTCCAGCTCCTCGACCACCAGGACTTCCACCCCTTCTGGGGGAACGTCGGCCTGCTCCAGCCCATCCTCCACCTCCAGAGCCTCCTCCCTGGGCACTGCCGAAGGACTCTCTCATATTCGGTCGCATTTTTGCGACTCCATAGGAAGAGGATGGGCCGTCAAAGCCTCCTCCTCCCCCTAGCCCAATTCCCCCTCCGAAGCCTGAGCCTCCGCGCTGACTCAACAGCATGCTGTCCCCATGGCCATCCCCAAAACCATAGCTATCGCCGCCAGATCTGTAGAGATCTCGGGAGGAGAGAGCAGAGCTGCGCGAGTCGAATGACTCGTACTGGTCAAACCTGCAGGAGGGAGGGAGGAAGAGGGTTTATAAAGAAGAGCAGAGAGCAAGAGAGGCAGGGGGGCCAGCCAGGTTTGGATTTCTCCACCTGCTTTTCCTTCTTCTCCATCTTCTTGCTTTCTCCAACTTTCTTGTCATTTATTTCAAAGCCACATTAGATCAAAACATTGATGATCTGAAACAATTTGTTGTGATGCTTGTGGTCTTTTAACAATCAGACATTAGTTTTACGCAGTAGAGTTTTGCAGATTTAGAAAATGCAAATTACTAATACGCCACTCCTTTGTTAAAGGAGAGGCTGGAAAACCTCAAACAGACAAGAACTTGACCCAGCAGAACATGGAACAGGTGCAAGTAGTAAATTATCCTGGAATGTGACTTTAAACATTCAAAAAGGGGCATTATATTAAAAATAAATCAATTTGTTCAATCAATATGGATGTTTTTGGTATATATGAATATAAACCATGCATCCTTTCACAGACAAGTTTGTTTTAAAAACTTTGTAAACTCATCTCGCTTGTGGAACCTAAAGCCAGAACACAGGTTAGGTCACGTGGAGGATGAGGGCAAACAAAGTATGGAAACACAAACACAAGGCAAAAGCAGTGTTCAAGGAGAGCTTAGTAAAAGATGGACTCATGGAAGTGTCTTTACAGAACATTTGGGATTTAAAGGAAACCCACCCACCAAAATAAACGATAAGGTGCAACAAAACTAAAGGGACGCCACTTCCTCAGATCACACGTTTTCATCCCATACAAGAATCAAATCTCCAATATCTCCACAAAAGCGGTGATGTGTATATCAGTAACCTTAGCAGGCACACTAAACACTTCCCTGGAGCAATCTCAGCAACAACAACAACAAAAAAAAGGGGGGGGGGCGGACCCAAGGGGAATTTAATGTGTTCGCTGACATGGAGGTGTGGCAATGGCTGATGTGGAATTGTTTCTGGTCAGAAAAAAGAAAACAACATTACCTGTCACCACGTGGGCCCTTAAACCCCCCTTCCATCTGAGTGAGCAAGTCCAGACGCTGGTTGATCTTGGCAATGACAGCATCTGCGTGCGTGCCCGTGGATGAGAGCAGAGAGCCTCCAGAGTGCCCTCGCTTCATACCGCCACCACCTCCTCCTCCTCCATAGCCTCCAAGTCCAGACTCTTTATAACCTCCTCCATACATATCATAGCCACCAGAACCTAAAAGAGTGGAGTAAAGAGAAAGTAATACAAAAACAACCCACATGGCTTTCACAAGGAGATGAGGCTTTGCATCAGTTTAAAGGCCTGACGCATCAGTCTAAATCAGGGAAATAGCTACAACTGAGCTGGGGGGGGGGGGGGGGGGGCGTCTGCAATAGTCATTCCCATGATTAGAATGAAGTAATGGGAACATAGGAGTCATCTCGAGTCTGCTGCTGCTTTATAATATTTTTTGCTGGATCGGTCACTAACCTAACTACGTTAAGAATTTCAAAGATTGAAACTGACAGATTTGGACATAATTTTTTTTGCCACACACACAATGGCTTTTTGTGTGCCATGCTGATGCTAAGTTTAAGTCCGGCCAGCAGATGTCACTCATTTTGTTGGGTCCAAATGTTTCACAACACTTAACCATTTCAAACCACTTGCTTCATATTTGTTCAGTGGTTTGGACAGCTTTGGTTTCTCCATCACTATTAACTAGATTGGGACTCTGATCATTAGCATTGCTGAAAACGCACCAGTTAGCCAAAAGGCTATTTTTCGTCAAGATTCCTTAATCTGGAGCACCCAGTCAACATTAATGACATGCAATTCTGCTACGCATTTCCTCACCTCTGTTGCCTGAACCACCAACTCCCCAACTGGAATAACCTGCAGAGAGACAAAGAAAAATAATTCATCAGTAGAAGGAAACACTTACCTTTTAATTAGCAGCAAAAACGTCAGTAAGTGAATGCATCTTCACCAGCAAACTAATGATAAACGTGCTAAGGATCAACCTGTACATGCAAGTGATGTGGACCACTTTCAACGCCACGATTTATTCAATTACGGGAAATATACGTGGTTGCGCTTTGGTTAAGGCGGCCATTTTATCAACCACTCTTTAAACGTGGGCTTTAGCTACACTGTCTCTATTTCAAATAATTAGAAATGACTTCAGTAGAGAACCGAGACCTTTAAAAGCTCAATACAACCTACGTACCGCTGGAACAATTGCTCTCCACGATATTACATTGAACGGCGTGTTAGCAAACGGGCCTAGATTTGTGCTAACCTCTTTTAGCACCTACAATAAGATTTGCAAATTTATTAGCGAAAAATATACATGAAACGCCCCGTTGACTGCACTTCGTATCTTTGTTTCGAGCTAACGTTGGCTACTGTGGCTGGTCAGCAAAAATGTTGGCACAAAGGTACTAGCTAATGTAGCTACATTCATCCATGATGCTAAAAATGAAACCAAAGCTACAGTCAAACGTTACGAAAAACATGGATATATATTTACGAAAAACATGGATATATATTTACCAGAACCATAGCCTCTGTTGTCCATTATACGTCTATAAACCGCTCAGAAAAGAACACTAAAAGAAGCGACTGCTTAATACACGACACGGCGCAGCTAAAGCTATTGGAAGATAACCCGCTGGGTGTTTTACCGAGAAAGCAGCCTTGTCGTCAAAACCGCCCCAATTACGGAAGTACGTTTTTCTTGTACTTCCTTTACTAAATAACCGAGTAAAGATCAAAAGCAAAAAAGCCCTTTTTTGTTCTTAATAAAAAAATCACATACATTTGTCAAAGTTAATTATGATATATTTATATTGTCCAAATGTTTATTTTAGAGCGGAAGAAAATCAGGTCCCGAAAAAAAAGAAAATAAATGTAATTGCAATAGCGTATGAGTACGTAGATTGTACACTAATAATTTTTTTTTTCAAATTGCTTTTTAAAATGCTTCTAAAAATGCGCTTCCGGGTGTGGGGTTTGAAAGGTGGTGAGCTTTCATGACAACATTGGCCGTGTTCGAGTTGAGCTGCGTCTCGCCTGGAAAACAGACGAGAGCAGACGGAAGCAGCAGGGGGAGTGGCTGAAAGCCTGGCGTTTAAGTCGGACAGATTTCCCTACATGTGTAGCTCGGGGGTGACGATGGTTGAAGATATCCCGTAAGAGTTCATACTTGTTTAATTATTTATTTTAATTCTGGTGCCTGTTAGCAGCTGAAACCAGTGTTGGGAGTAACGCGGTACAAAAGTAATTAACTACTGTAATGCATTTGCTGTAATGTGGTAATGTAAGGCATTACAGGGAAAGAAAATGGTAATATTTACTCGGTACAATTGTCAGTAATGCTGTAATTACAACGCATTTTTAAACCCAGAATCAAGATGCGGGTTTCCTAAAAATTCAAATTGCGGGAAGCCTGAGAAAAGATCCAGTATCTACATATATTACGTCATTTATGGACTTTGCTTTGCGGGCAATATGAGCAGAGAGGACGCAGCGGTAATGGCTCAAATACTCCAGCTGCGTCCTGCGCGCGGCCGCTGTTATATTCACAAAACCGCTCCACCAAAACAAAGTAATTCGTTTGCGATCGTTTATATCAGCCCATGTTCTCTGGTACTTCATGTACTTTTCAGCTGAGTTCATAATCTGTGTGCCGGTGATTTCAACTCATTGCTGCTGGAGCGCAGCGCATATGAAGCTTTTTTATTTATTTATTTTTTTGCGTTCGGTAGATCCCTTTGGCTGATTAGTTAGAAAGTAGGAAATCTGGGAAACTGTTTTTCTGGAAGACGGAGAAAACATGCAGCATGCAGGAAGGTTAGAGAGAGAAAGGGCAGGAAATTATTCACATAAAATCAAGAAAACAAAACAAAGTGCTTGAAAGGTAGATTTATCCCCAATACACATTGTTACCAGTGAAAAGCAATAATATACATAAGCATTTTAATATTTATACTAGTGATAGAATCAGATCACCCCAGAAGTCAGTCCCACATCCAGGGCCGTATCAAGGCATTTGGGGACCAAGGCAAATATAGGCTTGGAGCCCCCAGCACCTCACTCCCTGCTCAGATGGCCCTATAAGATGGCAGCGTGCTGAGAGTACAGATTGTTGTTGCTTTTATTTAATAAACAATCATTTTAAAGCACTGTTATTATATCTGACTGTTTTAACAGCAATCCTAGCTCAGACACCACATCACTTTCCACATATATGTCATGAGCTCACTGAGCGTCACATGACCAGATTCATATTGAAGTTGTTTTGGTGAAAGTTACTTCAAATAATGCAAAAGTAGTGTAATGCCTTACATTTTAAAATCAGTAATATTGTAATGTAATTAATTACTTTAAAATGAGGGTAACAAGTAATAAATAATGCATTACAGTTTTGAAGTAACTTGCCCAACACTGGCTGAAACACATCCTCACGTGCTTGTGGATATCATATATTGTATATGAAGACCTGACTGTAATTATAAGTAAAGGTTATCAGCTGTAGGTTTAGTGTGCTTATAGGAAACGTGTCAAAAGAACACAAAACACATTTCTTTATGGCCTATATAGTTGTCATCATCAACGTTACATGATTTACAGAATACATGTGACCAACTATCATTTTTTTTCTCCTTGAATACTCTTTATTGGCAAAGCACATAATACAACTACAAAGAAATAGCAAGCACAATGTCAGGGGTTTCTATGGGAAAACAGAACAGTCTAACAAAGAATCACATGATATTGAACAGGGAACATAAGTTTATGGTTTTGACAGCTTTCAAATTTTGAGAATGTTGTATGGTTTGAATTTTATTTGATTAATTTATTGATATTATTAGCTAAATTTCATATACATAAGTTGAAATTTTCTAATGAAAAACCTTCCTTTCAGTGCTTTTTAAATGAAACCAGACAATATCTAAAAACCATGTGACCAACTAATATTTCATGTTCTACCACCGGATGTTTGGATCAAAATATGAACCAATCAGATCTTAGATCAGGTGAGAGCCAGGCGTTTCCCGTCATCCTCTAGGTTTTGCAGCCGGTGGAGAGCAACTACAGCGCCTTGCTCCAAAGTCTGGCTCAACACGGCTATAGGCTGTGTTCAAGATGAGACAGTTCTGCGCAGATTAGACCAGCGGTGAATGATCGGCGAGCAGTGCATGCCGGTTAGATTTGTGTACGACTTGACGCCGACTTGCTCTGACATCATGCATACGTAGGCAACGATAACCTCGTGAGATCAAGGCGGCCGTAGATTTTGGAGCAAGGCACTGCAGTTGCTCTCCACTGGCTGCAAAACCTAGAGGATGACGGGAAACGCCTGGCTCTCACCTGATCTAAGATCTGATTGGTTCATATTTTGATCCAAACATCCGGTGGTAGAACATGAAATGATAGTTGGTCACATGTATTCTGTAAGTCATGTTACGTTGATGATGACAAGAATTTAGGCCATAAAGATAAATGTGTTTTGTGTTCTTTTGTCACAATTCCTATGAGCACACTAAACCTACAGCTGATAACCTTTACTTATTATTACAGTCAGGTCTCCATATACAATATATGATATCCACAAGCACGTGAGGATGTGTTTCAGCTGCTAACAGGCACCAGAATTAAAATTGAAAATTAAACAAGTGTGAACGCTAACGCGATATCTTCAGCCATCGTCACCCCCGAGCTAAACATGCAGGAAATTGTGTCCGACTTAAACGCCGGCTTTCAGCCACTCCCCCTGATTCTTCCGTCAACTCTTATCTGTTTTCCAGGCGAGGCGCAGCTCAACTCGAACACGGCCATCGAGTCAAGGTGGGTTGGTCCAAGGCGCGCTGATAACTAGGCCCCGCCCCGTTACATAATAAATGTTATATTACTGTATATTCAATTCAATTCAAGTTTATTTATATAGCGCCAAATCACGACAAGAGTCGTCTAAAGGCACTTCACATAATAAACATTCCAATTCAGGTCAGTTCATTAAGCCAATCAGAAATAATGTTTCCTATATAAGGAACCCAGCAAATTGCATCAAGTCACTGACCAGTGTCAGTGACTTTACATCAATCCTCATACTAAGCAAGCATAAAGCGACAGTGGAGAGGAAAACTCAGTTTTAACAGGAAGAAACCTCCAGAGAATCCTGGCTCAGTATAAGCAGCCATCCTCCACGACTCACTGGGGATTGAGAAGACAGAGCAGACACACACACACAAGCACACACACACACACGTGCACACACACACACACACACACACACACACACACACACAAAGACAAGTAATGTGTCTATAGTTATATTGGGATGTCTTAGTAAATATTCTATTTTGGTGAAAGATAAACTTTATTGTATTTATCCTAGTGGATCTATAATTAAACGGGTAAACTAGTAGTAGCACATCCAACGTCAAGGAAAGCAAAAAGTTATTATCAGGGGAGGGAGAAATTTTAAGTGGTTAGCAGCAGTGTGCTAGACGATGGCCCCCTCCATGAGGCCACCACAGCTCAGCAGAACATCGTTGTAGCTTCTTCTGGGGAGAAAAACACTTGGAGAGAAAATAAAGTTAACAGCTGAAATTGCAGAAAATAATACAGTTAAAGAGCAGACTGTAGAAGAAAGCAGTGTGAAAAGTGGTCAGTGTATGCTCCAGCAGTCTAAGCCTATAGCAGCATAACTACAGAGATAACTCAGGATAATCTATCCCAGGGATTCCCAAAGTGTGGTGCGCGCACCCCCAGGGGGTGCGCGAGCTGCCGCTAGGGGGTGCGCGAGGTGAAAAGTGTAATGGCTGCGGAGCTCAGAGAAGTCTGTCATATGTCACCATTAGCGTAGAAACTCATTTGTGGGTGGGCCAAAGAAAAAGTAAGTGGGCACAATAAATGTAATTGAAAACAAGTATATTTTTGCGCACGCGCGTGTCCTCCGCATGTGCCCTAGCTTCATAATAACAATGCGCCGAGCTTCAGCACTCTGGCCTGCGCACGCCGATATGTTCCGTATTTGATAATTTTTAACGGTGTTGGAGAAATCTGAAGGTGGTGAGTCATTCTGGCAGATTGTAATTAACACCTGTCTCATGCAGGTGTTCTGACGTTGTAAACCTCACACACAGAACATTGTGGATGTAACAAAATAACAAGAAATGATTCCCATTCAGGCTATTAACAGCGTGCTGAAGATCTGGAGTTCAGAGTGCGTCTGTCAGAGGTCAGACACGTTCCGGCTGAACCACGACTCACGGGTGCACATGTGAGCACATCTGGGCTGGGCAGAAGTAATTTTACAACATTGGTTTAAATAGCGCGAGACGCGGTGACTTGAGCGGCTGTGCCGTGCGCGCGTGCGCGCGCGCACACACACACACACACACACACAGATTCAATAAGCGCACACGCTGCTTTAACTCTGGCGCGCTGTCGGACTGAAGGCAGAAATGAACGCTGCCTCCACGTGATAAAAACTTTTAAGAGGTTATTTTTCATTCAAGGTCAAATTAAGATATTAGCTTCTGGGATGAGTCGGGTCCGCTCCAGCCAGTGACTCCTCATGAACCTGACCACAACTCATGTTACTGCAGCATTTGTTATTCAAGTCAGCGTGGCAGTGGATCGCAGATTCAGCCACACCATAAAACAGCAATAAGTCGGTCTGAGGCAAAAGTGAACATCATGGCTATATCTTGTCCCCTATAGACATTTGATTACGCACAAGTAGGTGATCAGCTCAGGTTTATGCAGAGTAGAAGGAAGGAGAGCGCTCTGGACGCACAGGTTAAACGTTCCTACTTTAAGAAAACCGTTAGATTGCATTGTTTATGTGCTACCTGGGCACTCTAAATATTTATTTAAAATGAAATCAAAGGAAATTGTAATGGTATCGAAAGTTTATTAATTACTATTTAAAAAATGAAAGTGATGGGGAATTTTTTTAACCCTGTCTGTTTAGCTTGACATCTGATATATATATATATATATAGAGCCATGCCCCGATGTGGGGGCTGGGGGGGGGGGGGGGGGGTGCGTCGACTTGGTCGGGACATAGAAGGGGGTGTGCGGCTAAATAAGTTTGGGAACCACTGATCTATCCTATTTAGATGGAAGAATGTTGGAGTCAGGGCAAGGGAGAGCCATCTTTACCGACTGTACTCTCCACCTCTCTCTACTCCCCCACTTGTCCAGATTTTAACCATAGGCCCTATCAAATAAAAATATTTTAAGCCTATTCTTAAAAGTAGACATTATGACATTACGTCATGATATCATGATATCATGACATGGCATGACACAACATCATGACGACATGACACAACATGACATCTTGATATGACATGACATCATGACATGACATGACATAAAATGACATGACATCATGTCATCATGACATGACATCATGACATGACATAATTTCATCATGACATCATGACATGATAACATGACATGATGACATGACATCACGACATGTCATCACAACTTGACATGACATCCTGACATGACATTACATCACGACATGACATGACATCACGGCATGACATGACGTCATGACATGTCATGACATTAATACATGACATGATGACATGACATGATGACATCATGTCATGACATTACGACATAACATTATATCATGACATGACGACATGACATCACAACATGACATGACATGACATGACGACATGACATGACATGACATCACGACATGACATCACAACGTGACATTACATCACGACATGACATGACATCACAACATGGCATGACATCATGACATGACATCATGATACGTGGAAGTTTGGTCAATTTTAAGGTTCTTCTAATGGTTTTTAAGTGTCTTAACGGTCTTGGGCCTTCTTATCTATCAGAACTGCTTTTACAATATGAACCCTCGCGGCCTCTGCGCTCCTCTGGCAGGCGTCTCCTGGTCATCCCTAAAGTCAGGACACAAACTCACGGCGAGGCGTCCTTCCAGTGTTTTGGCCCTCGCCTCTGGAACGAGCTGCCAGAGGACCTCAGGGCCGCAGAGAACGTTCATGTTTTTAAGTCAAGACTCAAGACCCATCTTTTTAGGTTAGCTTTTATCTAAATATTTTCTACAGTTTTATTTCTCGTTTTACATGATCATATTTTATTACTTGCTTTGCATGTTCTATATAATTATATTTTAGCACAGTTTTATTATTAAATTATTATTTTACTGTCTATATCATTTTATTTATTACTTATTTTCTAATTTTAGTCATTTTTATTAGCTCTTTTATTACATTTTTACTCATTTTAATCCAGTGTTTCCTCTGTGGGGGCCCTCTGCCCCGGGAGTGGTGGTCGACTGTAGCTTCCTGGGCCCTCTATAGGTGGGGGTCTATGCTCCCCCTCCACTGAGCGCCCTGACTTAGTGTGGAAGACCTGATGCTGCCGGGGCAGACGGCTCCTCTGATGGCGTATCCTTGCGTTACCATACTTGGCACATCTGGACTCAGCCTAATATAATTTTTACTTGTGTGTGTGTGTGTGAGTCTGTGTGTGCGTGTGCTTGCATATGCTTGTAAATGTTTTTAATCTGTTATGGGAATCTGGGGTCATTTTGTAAAGCACTTTGAATCACACTTTGTTTGAAAAGCGCTTTAGAAATAAAAATTGATTGATTGATTGCTGCAAAACACCAAGCCAGGTGGAATGCCAACGCCACGTCCACATCCGGGTTAACACCCACTTATATGCGATTGAATGAGTGACGTTGACAATCCACCTGCTCGCAGCCATTTACATAATATAATATAATATACCTTAATGGATATAAAAGCTAATGACAAAACTTACAAAGCGCTTCAGCTTTTCATTTAAAATTGTTTGAGTTTATCTTTGACATCAAATTGAACAGTATGTAAATTTATTTTTCTCGGACTGTTTTTTTTTTTAGAAATTTAAAAACAAAAAGATGCACAGTAATCTAATTGTTTCAGTCTGATAAACTGGATTTTAAAACAATACATTTTACGTAATTCCATAAAAATATGTAGAATGTACTAAGTAGAGTGGAAGTTAGGAAGCATTAAAATGACATTAATCAAATTCTTTATTCAAATTGATCATTTTGATTACAGAAGCTTGAGATTTACAAACATTAGTATAAAGGATTAATTATTTTATTATACAGTTAAAATTAGACAGATAACAAAAATACATGAAAAAAACTTGAAAATATTATATTAACAATTGATGTGGTATATGTTATTTTTGTCTCTTAAGTTTCCAATAATGTGTTACAAAGCAAGCTGCATCTCATGATATCTGGTCATGAGCACCTTTAATGTTTCAAAACATTATTAGCAAAATGGGCTGGAAGCTCTCAGCTACAGATAAGGTGACTCATTATCCAACCTCAAGGCAGGAAGAAGATATCGTTATTTGAAAAAGTGTTTATCTTAGTAACTGAGGCTTGTGGCAGCGCTCGTGGTCTCTGTTAACAGACCTGACACAACTTAGATCACGCTTGATGAGCTGAAACCAATTCCAACCCAAGCATAAAAATTACATGGTGTCTTCCTGTTGCTCATCTGACTCTGCTTCTGCAGAGGGATTTCTAGCCTTCAGTCTGAATGTCTCAGGCATCAGATTCACCTGAAGGACAAACAAACAAACAAACAAACAAAAACGCATATTCATTCAGGAAAGATGCAACATTACATTTTGCATTTTTTACTCACCTGTTTAGATGTTCTATTTCCACTTTGCTCAGTCTTTCTTCTGTAGGGTTTTATAGAATGAAATAAAAAAATAGTTGAGTCTAAATAGGACACCAAATACAAAAGTAGTGTGAAAAATTCTATATTTTTTACCTCATCATCAAGTTCAGTTTAAAACCAATTGGAGGGATCAGTAATAAGACGATCAGTTTCAATATATTCAGTATTGTAATTGATTGTCCGCCAGCTGTGGAGATTAAACCAGATGTTTAGTTCAAATGTGTCACTTTTAAATAAGACATACTTGCTTGATGTTGTTTCTTTCTTAAGTCACAAACTTGAGCTCTGAAAAATGCACTTAACACAATATTTCCTTTTCTCAAACATCCTTTAACAGCCTATCCTGCTTACGTTTGACAGTGAGAACCTTTATGGACGAGTTCACGCAATGGGGAGTTGTCACAGCACATGAGTAGTATCCTGCATGGTGACTGCTGACCGGGTTGAAAATAATGTGCTTGTTTTGGTTCTTGGGCAGGTCCAGAGTCTGATTGTTAAAGTACCACACATAGATCGTGCTGTCTGTCAGAGGGCAGCTAGTCGTGCAGGTCAGCCTGACCTCTTGACCTTCTGACACCTCTGCTGAGGGAACCACGGTGACCTTTACATCTGAAATATGGTTAGAAGTATGCAAATGAAAATTTACACTGACTGTGGCAGGTGCTGTGTGATTCAGACTTGTGAACGCACCTGTAACCTCTAGTATCACTCCAGGGGAATCAGGAAGTTTGCATTTGTCACATATTTTGAAGGTTAATATGTATTCTCCAGAGTTGTTCTTCTTAAGGTCATCAATTTTCAGTGTGTTTGTGGTATGGTCAATGTCGATATGCTCCACATGGTCCAGGTCATAAGCTAAGACAGCACTGGCCCCTGCCTCATCCACATTTCTTATTACCTTGTACCACATAAGTAGTTTAGAATTGCTTGGGTCTGAGTAAAAGCCAGGAATGCTGACTGAAGAGCCTTCCAGCCTACAGATTCTTCTGCTGTTATAATTCACCGTTGTGCAGCTGCCTACGCTGCCGCCTAAAAGAAAAAAAAAAGGAAAATTTAGAGGTGCATTATGTAATAATGAAGTGAGAGTGACATCCTGTGATCAAATTTGGGTACTGTAGCCCGTTTTCAAAATACACGGGTGACTTTCTTACAGTGTGGATCGGGTGGCTGACCGAGGCGGGAACATTGGCGATCCGATCCCCGGACAACGAAACTGGTTTTTGGGACATGGAACGTCACCTCGCTGGCGGGGAAGGAGCTGGAGCTTGTGGCAGAGGTTGAGCGGTACCGGCTAGATATAGTCGGACTCACCTTGACACATAGCATTGGCTCTGGAACCCAAGTCCTTGAGAGGGGTTGTCACTCTCCTTTGCTGGAGTTGCTCCGGGTGAGAGGCGGAGGGCTGTGGTAGGCTTTTTGTTAGCCCCAAGACTCTCTGCCTGTGTGTTGGGGTTTACCCCGGGGAATGAGATCGTAGCTGCCCTGCGCCTTGGGGTCGGGAAACTGGTCCTGACTGTTGTTTGTGCTTATGGGCCAAATATCAGTTCAGAGTACCCACCCTTTTTTGAGTCCCTGGGATGAGTGCTAGATAGTGCTCCATCAGGGGACTCCATTGTCCTGCTGGGGGACTTCAATGCTCACGTGGGCAATGACAGCATGACCTGGAGGGGTGTGATTGGGAGGAACGGCCTGCCTGATCTGAACTCGAGTGGTGTTTCGTTATTGGACTTCTGTGCAAGCCGCAGTTTGGCCATAACGAACACCATGTTCGAACATAAGGATGCCCATCGATACACTTGGTACCAGGGCAGCCTAGGTCGCAGGTCGATGATAGACTTTGTAGTCGTATCATCTGACCTGCGGCCGTATGTTTTGGACACCCGAGTGAAGAGAGGAGAGGAGCGGTCAACTGATCACCACCTGGTGGTGAGTTGGATCAGATGGCAGGGGAAGATGCAGCGTGGACCTGGCAGACCCAAACGCATAGTGAGGGTCTGCTGGGAATGCCTGGCAGAAGAACCTATCAAGACGGTCTTCAACTCCCACCTCCGTCAGAGCTTTGACCGCATCCCGAGAGCAGTGGGGGACATTGACTCCGAGTGGGCCTTGTTCCATTCTGCGATTGTTGAGGCAGCTGTTGCTAGCTGTGGTTGCAAGGTGGCCGGTGCCAGTCGTGGTGGCAACCCCCATACCCGCTGGTGGACACCAGAGGTTCGGGGAGCCATCAGGCTGAAGAAGGAGGCCTACAGGGCGTGGCTGGTCTACGGGTCTCCGGAGGAAGCAGACAGGTACCGGATAGCCAAGCGGGGTGCAGCAGTGTCAGTTGCCGAGGCAAAATCTCGGGCGTGGGAGGAGTTTGGTGAGGCCATGGAGAAAGACTATCTATCGGCTCCAAAGAGTTCTGGCAAACTGTCCGGCGCCTCAGGAGAGGAAGACAGCAACTCACTCATACTGTTTACATTGGGGATGGGGAGCTGCTGACGTCAACTGGGCTATAGTCGGACAGTGGAAGGAATACTTTGAGGAGCTCCTCGATCCCACCTACGCACATTCCGAGGAGGAACCAGAGCCGGGAGACCTGGGGATGGACTGTTCAATCTCAGGGGCAGAAGTTGCTGAGGTAGTCAAACAACTAAACAGCGGCGGAGCCCCGGGGACGGATGAGATTTGTCCTGGGTATCTCAAGGCTATGGATGTTGTAGGGCTGTCATGGTTGACACATCTCTGCAACATTGCGTGGTCATCAGGGGCAGTTCCTGTGGAGTGGCAGACTGGGGTGGCGGTCCCCATCTTTAAGAAGTGTGACCTGAGGGTGTGTTCCAACTATAGGGGGATCACACTCCTCAGCCTCCCTGGAAAGGTCTACTCCAAGGTACTGGAGAGGAGGGTCCGATCGATAGTTGAATCTCAGATTGAGGAGGAGCAATGTGGTTTTCGTCCTGGCCGTGGAACTGTGGACCAGCTCTATACCCTCGCAAGGGTGATGGAGGGGGCATGGGAGTTTGCCCAACCAATCCACATGTGTTTTGTTGATTTGGAGAAGGCTTATGACAGTGTCCCCAGGGGCACCCTGTGGGGGACGCTCCAGGAGTATGGGGTGGGTGGCTTTCTGTTAAGGGTCATTCAGTCCCTTTACCAGAGGAGCGTGAGTTTGGTCCGCATAGCCGGTAGTAAGTCGGGCCTGTTTCCGGTGAGGGTTGGAATCCGCCAGGGCTGCCCTTTTTCACACCGGTTCTGTTCATTACCTTTATGGACAGAATTTCTAGACGCAGCCGTGGTGTGGAGTGTGTCAAGTTTGGTGGCAGGAGAATCTCGTCCCTGCTTTTTGCGGATGATGTGGTCCTCCTAGCTTCATCCAGCTCTGACATTCAGCTCTTGCTGGGTAGGTTCGCGGCCAAGTGTGAAGTGGCTGGGATGAGGATCAGCACCTCCAAATCTGAGACCATGGTTCTCGACTGAAAAAGGGTGGCTTGCCAACTCCGGGTCGGGAGAGAGGTCCTATCTCAAGTGGAGGAGTTCAAGTGTCTCGGGGTCTTGTTCACGAGTGAGGGTAGGAGGGATCGGGAGATCGACAGGCGGATTGGTTCAGCGTCTGCAGTGATGCAGACGCTGAGCCGATCTGTTGTGGTGAAGAGGGAGCTGAGCCAGAAAGCCAGGCTCTCGATTTACCGGTCGATCTACGCCCCAATCCTCACCTATGCTCATGAGCTTTGGGTAATGACCGAAAGAACGAGATCGCGAATACAAGCGGCCGAAATGAGTTTCCTCTGTAGGGTGACCGGGCTCAGCCTTAGAGATAGGGTGAGGAGCTCGGACATTCGGGAGGGATTCGGAGTAGAACCGCTGCTCCTCCAGATCGAAAGGAGTCAGTTGAGGTGGTTTGGGCATCTGGTCAGGATGCCTCCTGGACGCCTCCCTGGGGAGGTGTTTCAGGCATGTCCTGCCAGCAGGAGGCCCCTGGGTCGACCCAGGACTCGTTGGAGAGGTTACATCTCCAATCTGGTCCGGGAACGCCTTGGGGTCCTGCCGGAGGAGCTGGTGGAGATGGCCGGGGAGAGGATGGTCTGGAGCTCCCTAGTTGGGATGCTGCCCCCGCAACCTGGACCCGGATAAGCGGAGGAAGACGAGGACGACTTTCTCACTCCTGCTCCATGAGTTCCATGACTGTTATCAGATACGGTTCAGCACCAGAAGATTCTAAGTGCTTGGGGTCCCCACAAGATTGCAAGGTGTCCCTGCAATTTTGTCTGTGTTGGCATTGTGATGGTAGCAAGATTTTATTTGTAAAAATTGCATTTAACATATCCCAATAAGACAACTTACTGTAAAAGTTACAACTCTGTAATTCAGTATAAAATTTGTAAATCATTCCATTTTATGTGTGAATGTGTGTAGGAGTTGGGGCCGGGGTTCTGTCTCATTGTAGATATGGGCAGGGGGGTCCTTAAGGAAAAATGATTGGAGAGTGAAGATGAGTTACTCAAAGTTGATGAGTAGATGCATACATTTTGCTGTAATATTTAAAGTAGTTTGAGATTTGTATTTTGTTTTTAATTTATCGTTAGCATTGTTAGCTCAATGTTAGCATCTAGCCTTCTTTAGCCAATAGGGCTGCCAACTCTTCAACTCTCCACCTCTCACGCATTGAGGGTGAGACACACACATCTGATCCTCATCACACGCTCTCACGCCACACCTCCAACATCTTAAGCTAAAGATTCCCCCCTCCCTGTTCTCATGAACAACAGACGGAGGCAAACCAGTCCATGCATCCCCCAGCATCCCACAGACAATTGACAGAGGTGAAATAAACCACACACACCCCCACACCTCACGGCTAACGTACAAAAGCAAAACATTGGTTACGTATTGTAACCCCAGATTCTGAGCCTAGTCGCAGCCCTTAAGCTAGCTGCTATTGGAAGGATGATCTCAGCATCAGCCAATCATGAAGAGCTTAAATGTACGCCCACCAATGGTGGGCACCCCTGTGGGTATATAAGTGGAGCAACTCCACTGTTCGCCTCCAATGGCTCTAAGTCCTACAGAACCAGTGGGGCCATTTGCTTAAGGGCTGCGACTAGACTCATAGAATCTGGGGTTACAATACGTAACCAACGTTCTATTTCATCTAGTCTTAGCCCTTAAGCTAGCTGCTATTGGAATAATGCGCAGCTGGATGGATTTATGCCACACTGGTTAGCTCAACCAACGGACACACCCAACATGTCTTCTTTTAGTGAGGGTCGCTCAGCTCAGCCGGGCTTAAAAGGCTGAGGCAGCCAGAGAGAAGAGTGGGCCCCCCACTAAAAATATCATCCACAAGAGGATGAAATTCATTCAAGTAGGGCTGATGTGGTGCCATAATGCTTTCACTCAGCCTGCTGAGGTCCAAGCACTGAACGAGTGATGGATCCTGAAGACATATCTCGTAAATAACAACGAGTAAAGGAACAGGGTGAAGCCCATGAAGCAGCCTGACAAATGTCTTCCATTGACACACCACTGTGGAGCGCCATAGAAGAGGAAATCCCTCTGGCTGAGTGAGCCCTGAGTGTCTCAGGAGGATCCCGCCCTGATGATGTGTAAGCGAGTGAAATGGCGTCACACAGCCAGTGTGAAAGACGCTGGGTCGACAGCGCTTGCCCAAGGGAAGAATCTCTGTAGTGCACAAACAGGCTTTGTGAGCGGCGAATCCCTGAAGTGTGTGACACATATCGTGCGAGCGCGCACACCGGGCAGAGAAGTTGGGAAGCCGCCTCCTCATCAGAATTATGGGGAGGAGGAAAAAGTCCAGCCAATGAAATTGACCTGGATTTGAAGGAAGTATTAATATTTTTGGGCACAAAGGCTGGGTTGGGGCATAAAACAGCGGACCCGCCATCTACCCAGATCCTGAGGCATGCGGGAGCCACTGAGAGGGCGGTTAGGTTGCTCACTCTCTTGACTGATGCCAGTGCCAGCAGCAAGGCAGTTTTGAGTGACAGGAACTTGAGTGAGGCCTGGTCCAAGGGTTCAAATGGGGCTTC